AATTTCCATTTTACATATACACTTCCATAAATTAAAAGGAATGAAGTTATAGTTAATATATGGAAATCGTTATCAAATCGTATATTTTCCTTTTCTTCCATGGCATGTATTAATGTGTCCGCAAATGTAAACTGGAACATTTGAGTATATTTTCCTTTGTGAAACATTCATTAGCGTGGGATATATATATTATATATATGCATGTAAACTATGTTACATGCGTTATATGCGTTATATGCGTCTCTAATTATTTTTCCCTAGCAAATTTCAATTGAACCTAAAGCTGCCACGTCAGTTTAATTGGTATGCTAATTGATTGACAACTAAGCAAGGTTACTTTTTAATTATTACAAACTTGAGGTTACATCTTTTCAAATGTTTCTCAATTAATATATAGGGGATACAGACATAGTGTTTGTATGGTTTATGATGCACTATTTCATTTTACTTGCCGTTTTTACATAGATTAAAAATTTGAATTTTAACCAAAAAAAAAAAAGATTAAAATTTTGAATTTTGCATGTTTTCGAAACAAAATTATTTTTATACTTAACCATATTTGAACTAATAAAAAAATTTAATAACATATAAAATCAATATACAACGACAACTATGTATCCATCATAATATTTTAGTGGTGGATTTTACTAAAAAAAAAACCACCAAAAAGTTTGTTTTAGTAGTTTTCACAATTTCTCCCAGTTTACTAAATGTAATTTGCTAACAATGATTGGTCAATGCCTTAGTGGTAGATAAAAAGGAATAATCTGTAATGATTGTTTTTAAAAAAATAGAAGAAAAATATCTGTAGATAAGGAAAGCTCCTTTAAAAAGAAAATGTAGATGAGGAAAGCTAAAATAAGTAAATAAATGCAATTGTCCTTTGCAGATCTCTGGGATGGGGACCTCCATAGATTTACCTGGTTCGGTCTTATTTGAGTGAATCGTATTTGTTTCGGGAACTGGGCGTAAAGCAAGGTCTGTTGAGTTTTTTTACTAGCCTATCACTTAATGTTTCCATCAATATCCATTTTTCTATAAATATTTGTTATTCTCAAAATAATGTTGTTGAAGCTTTATATTCTATCCGATTTTGAGTGTAAAGACGAGTAAAATATTTACTACTATCGTTTTATCGCTTTCAAGGCCCTTTCCCTGACTTTCTCAGTGTATCTATTTACAGAAATAATATTTGATGAATATGTCACTGATCTTGACTCTTGTATCTTTATCTTCTTTGGTTTTGGTCGACTACATTCAAGCAGTTCATAGTTATTTTTCACCTTAGTTTTACAATATTTTTTTGGTCATTATGTTGCAGAGTCTCTATTTGCTGATTTTTAGATGCATAGGAAAATTGTACATTCGAGCATTTATTTCTTACATGCATAATTAAATGTTTACAAATAAAATACAATGTTTTGCTTGGTATTACCTGAATATACTACCGATATATTTATATAGTTGCAAAATATATGCGTAACATAGACAAAGACAGATTGTGTATTAATTGTCCTTTCTAATATTATTGCTTTCTTTTGTTATAATAGGGCGGCAATATTATATTGATGACAATGACTGCTAAGCTGAATAGAAACATATTTATAATTCTAATGGCATCAAAAATTAAAATAAAGTAAATGGTTAACAATACTTAAATGTTAATCGTACAGATTAAAGATTGAGAAGATTATCTGATAGGTCTACTGATCGATAAAGAAAGAACTAAAGCATTCTCATGGGTCCTATCTCCTGTCTCCCTCATCTATCACTAATTAACCTGATATTCCAATATATCATCAACATAATTTACATTTCATTTCATATATACATAATACACTTATGTTCTACGTTTGGATGATCTTTAACTAGCATGAGCTTGCTAGTAAAAAAAAAATTATTTATTCGATGTTGCTTATTTATAGAACATTATAATTTTCTGACAAAAAAAAAATACAGAACTCTAGCTTTTTAAGTCTTTTACCTTTGTTGATTTGATGCTACGTGTGTACCCGTGTATATCTATACTATTATTTGCGAAGTGATTTTTCGCAACGGAGCTCTCACGTTAAAAGTTAGAGTGGTTAATATCGATTATACCCTTAATGAATAAATATATAAATCATCCAATAATAAAAAAGAATTTAATATTTATTTGATTAGATAACTAATTTAAATTACTAACAATGATAAGAATTATCCATAATTTAAATATATATTTAAAAATAAAAAAGATAATTCCTATATATATTGTGTTGTTATCCAAAAAATATATTTAGTCAAAAAATTCAAAAACAGAAAACACATAAATAAATATTCATAAAGTAAAATTTTTAATTGTATATAATTGAAAATAGAAAATTAAAAACAAATTATAATACGTAATTATTTTCAAATTAAAAGAATATAATAATATAATATAATGATATATATTCGTGAAGTTATTTTCTCCTTTGGACTCACACGTTAAATTAATTTTTTTTTTATTTTATATAATTAAACCTTAAACATGAATTAATCATAATAAAATCAAAGATCATTCAAAAAGAAAGATATTTGACAAAAATAAATTTTAAATATATTGTATTATTATCCAAACCAATATTATTCTTTCTGTAAGATCAATTTTGTTAATGTATATTTCTTGATTCAGTTTTTCAAATAAAGATAAATTTCTATATTTTTATCAATTAATAAAAAAAGAAATAGACTAGATTTTTTAAAGCTTAAAAGGAAGAAGAAGATTTATTTTAATTTGTGAATAACTTTATCATGTAAATTTTTTTAATATTTTAGGTTAAATTTTTTGAATGCAAATAATCATTTATTTATATAATTTTTTAAATAGATTTAAAGATAATTAAGCCCGCATGTGCGGGCAAAACACCTAGTATATAATATATAGTCCCATCAAATAATTTACATGAGAATATAATAAGAGACTATTTCTAACTAGTGTAGAATTTTTTCTAAAGTTTTTCCCCACTATCATTGACATAGTTTCTCTAGATTCCTCTCTTTTCTCATTCAAAGACCTAAAAGACTAAAACGAAGAAAAAAATGATGTAGTGATCATCACAGATCTAGAAAACAACAAGAGTCGATCCAAATACCATGGCTAGTCCTAGCAACAAAGGCAAAGACATCGCAGAAGGGTCACCGTCTCAAACGCACCCGCAGCAGCAACCACAATCACCTCCTAACCCGCCAGTGTTAAGCCGTTACGAGTCACAGAAAAAGCGAGACTGGAACACGTTTTGTCAGTACCTTCGTAACCAGCAACCACCGGTTCACGTCTCACAGTGTGGCTCTAACCACATCCTAGACTTTCTCCAGTATCTTGACCAGTTTGGAAAGACAAAGGTTCATGCTCATGGTTGTGTTTTCTTCGGACAAGTTGAGCCCTCGGGACAGTGTAACTGTCCTTTAAAACAAGCGTGGGGGAGTTTAGATGCTTTGATCGGACGGCTGAGAGCAGCTTACGAGGAGAACGGAGGGTTGCCGGAGAGAAACCCTTTTGCCGGCGGTGGAATTAGGGTTTTTCTAAAGGAAGTGAGAGATTCACAGGCGAAGGCAAGAGGAGTTCCTTACAAGAAAAGGAAGAAGAAGAAGAAGAGGAATCCTATGAGGAGTCATGATGTTGAAGATGGTACTGCAGGGACTAGTAGCTCCAACTTGCCAGCTTAGCAAGCAAACAAAAAAAACATATAATAAAAACAATAGTGGAATTAATTAATGGTAAGCGTTTATCTCACTCTATATATATTTTTCTCTATTAGTTTTAATTAATTATCACGTTTATGATCTATCTGCAATTTTACATATGTATTTGAAATAGATCTCGACAGTAAGCTTTTGTTGCAGCCTTTTAGTTTATACACAAGCCATATAATAAATGAACACGACTAAACCTTAAGCTAATATCATACTAACATGAAGCTAATATCATTTATATACTAACGTGTGAATTGCTTGAAATTTGATTATATATAAATACTTTTTTTTATAAATACTTAGTGATAGTAAAATGTTAATCAAAGATGGAACTTGTGAATACGTATTTTCTGTTCATTTTTACTACACTGCAAGCCCTAGAGAGTATACACACATTGACACACATACGCGAGAAACCCTAGGTGCGGCTTCGCTAGGTGTAAGCTTGTATTTATGAATGTGTTCATACATACATATCTGTTCCAGGAATCTAATCATCAAATGAAGGACATCATTTATTGGATTTGATGGCTTGTTCTTGGTAAGTTAGTTTCCTGTGGTCGGTTCTTTGTTTGGTTGTATGATCTGAATAAACAGGGCCTAGATATTGATCATATGTAGACTTCTTTTTTGTCAGCTAACCATTTAAGATATGTAGACATCTTATTTGATTTGATTAAAAAAAAAAAGACATATTATATGATTAGATTTGTGAAACAGGAATAGGAATGAACTTGATGTATTTTCTTAAATTACAATTATATTTAATTAATGCTATCACTTATATACATGTATATATATATATACACACACTTAAGCTAAAATTTATCAACTAACTTCAGTATTTATCATTTAATTTTGAGTTATTTGTCTAATAGTAAGACCTAAAACAATCTCTCCATAATAGGTTTTGATAACTTGTGCACTTGAGTTGACGGCACTCTCGTGCTTATAAATGAGTTCATTGCTGATTGTTAAGCTGTATTTGCCTAATTTAATCCTATTTATAGAGAAGCTAAACGTAACTGCTATGACGTCCAAAATTTGATTCTTGTGTATAACTTTATCTTATATTTGATTTTGGAGTTACTTGATCATTGCAGGATAGATGTTTGAATTAAACTACTACCAAAACGTTTCTGTTAACAACTTGACAAGTTAATTATTCTCAAGTCTACGTAACGTGTGTGCACTTTGCATCAATGAGAATATGAGTTTAGGATATAAAAAGTCAACTCAAACTGAAAAATTCATCAAACCATTGATTTGTGAAGTTGCGTATACACATCTCTTCTACTTGGGTCAACTCTAATAATCTCTCCCCATCTCGTCTTGCTGCTCCATTAAATCGAAACCATGTCCTCGAAAAAACTCATCACTTGTTGTTCAGGAACAGAGAGAACAACATCTAACAAATCATCTCGCAGTGAGATATCATCACTGAAGAACGGAGCACTACTATTGGAACAACTGATCCGTGTTTCGAACGGAGACTACAATCTTTTTTGTACATTCACAGAACACGAGCTGAAGCAAGCAAGCAAAGACTACGACCAAGATCTCGTCTGTCTTGTTGACGCCAACTATAGATTGTTTCAAGGAGTCCTTAAGAAAAGAGGACCCGTGCTAATCAAGAAAACGGATGAACACGAAGAGCTCGTGGAATATTGCATAAGAGAAATCGCTATTGCTGCATACGTCAGTTCGAACATGAATCTTGTGAAGCTTCTTGGTTGTTGCTTGGAAAGCAAGGTACCGATTATTGTCTTTGAATACGCTAGTGGAAACCTAACTGATTACTTGCATAACAAGAAAGAGCTCATCCCATGGAGACGGAGGATTCGCATCGCTGCTCAAATTGCTGATGCGATTTGCTTATCTCCATTTAGGCAAGCCACGACCTCTCATCCACAGACATGTGAAGAAAACAAAGAACGTTTTACTAGACGATAACTTGAACGCCAAGTTATTCGATTTCGAATTGTACCAAACAGAGTTTTGGGTGTAAATAACAAAAAGCAAAAGTATAAGGTCTAACTTGTTAAAAACCAGAGAAATAGGGTAAAAACATTATACAGTAACACTCTAGACCCTAAAAGGAAATAAACGACAAATCCTTAAAACAAAAAGGAGTTAATGTAATGAAAAAAACAAAAAAAAACTAAACTCGCCGGAAAACAAAGTATGAACCTTTACGACGACGAGTCTCTCAAACAAGAGGTAATCTACCTCCACTCCCTCTGGCACCAAGGCCCTCCAACCCGCAACCCAATCCCCAATTTCAACCCGGTTCACGACCCGGTTCACAGATCCAGACCCAATTACATCCCACCTGCAGATTTCCAGCTCCTCTCTCGCTACGGATCCAACCCTAATCATCTTCAACCTCAACCTCACCTCAACAACAACAACAAACGCTCCAGACCCGGGTCGGATCGTGAATGGCCCGTTAACGAACCGCCTCGCTACCCTCCTACCACGGGATGGCCTGAAGCCAAGCCGTTTAAAAAGGCTCGACCTTTATCCGACGAGGAGAAAGCTAAGCTCGCCGTGAGTCAGATTCAGAGAGACGTCCACCGCGCTTGTCGCGAGTTTTTCGGTAGAAGAAGTGAAGAGGAGTCGGATACTGATGATGGAGGAGGAGAGGAGTTTCAGTTTTTGTCGAGAGTGTTTGAAGAGAATGTGAAGCTTAAGGAGTGTTATGAGAAGAACAGTGTGCATGGGGAAGTGTGGTGTCTTGTCTGTGGAGGAAGTGGTGAGAAGAGTGTGAGGAAGTTTAAGAATTGTTTGGCTTTGGTTCAGCATTCACTTAATATTCATAAGACTATGAAGAATCAGCATAGGGCTTTGGCTCAGGTTGTGTGTGATGTTTTGGGATGGGATGTTAATAATCCTGTTATTTCCAGCCAAAAGGACTCTCAGGTTAGATCTATACCTTTAAAGATGTTTAGCATTGCAACTGTTAACATTGATTTGGGTTGTGTTATTATGATCAAAGACTGGCTTATCAGTTCATTATGTTGTTGTGACAAAAGATGAATTAGTGTTCTAAAAATTGATCTAAGTGCCCCGGCAAATTAGTCCTAAACAAACTAGACCTAAAATAAACAGTTTTTCTTAAAACAGTTTTAAAAATAAATAAATAAATAGGTTTAGATTTGTTCAAAAAGATTGGTCAACTTTTACATTGATTTGGTTTGTGTTGTTATGATGGTCAAAAGTCTGGCTTATCAATTTATTATGTTGTTGTGACAAAAGATGATTGTTCTAAAAATTGGTCCAAGCCCGCCGGAAAATTAGTCCTAAACTAAACAATTTTTCTTTTAGACGTTCAAAAAATCGGTCTATGCGCGCCCGCCTAATCAATAATCTTTTATAAAGAGCGACTAACGATTTGTTGAACATTGATCATTATGATCTTTGGTAGCTTTTGAATAGTTTAGATCATTCATATACATTTTGCTCTTATTTTCTTTTACAGACATTGGGGGTAGAGGCGGTTGCCGAAGGTGCAACTGAGTTGCCTCCAGACACAAAGAAGCTTGAGGAGAAACAACATGTGATGTCTGCTGATGAACAAGCAAAGGCTGTTGTGTTACTAATGCAACAGAATGCATCTGAAGCTTTGAAAGGCATTTCTGTCAATGATACTTCTGGTTCAGTTGATGAAACTGAGGAGTTGGGATTGATATCTCGGCTCTTCTCGGAGAACGCTGAGCTCAAAAGTTACTACGAGAAGAACTGTGATGGTGGACACTTTGTATGCCTAGTGTGTAGTGCTGCGACTGATAAGAAGATGATAAAGAGGTTCAAACACTGTCATGGACTTGTTATGCATTCTACTAAAACCCCAAAGATTGCAATAAGAGCTCACAAGGTGTTTGCTCGGTTTGTCTGTGAACTATTTGGCTGGGAGTTTGATCGTCTTCCACGTAAAGTAGTGAAAGACTGTGTTCCTCTTGTTGAAGCTAGTGCTAACCAGGACAATGAGAAGCCATCGTTGATGATCGAGGTAAAGAATTTTTACAAAGAGAACAAGAACTCTTTTCTTGATTCTTGTCCTATTTTTCATTAACTGAATTGTGGTATCACTTTAAGGAACATATGAATGAAGAGAAAACCGATAGTCCAGAGGAAAGTAACAACCCATGCGTTGGAGAGTAGATGGTAAGTATACTTACACACCTAATCACAGTTTTTTTATATAGAATCTTGCTCTTTTTTTTTCCTTTTTTTGTTGCTTTCAGACATTTGTTTAGTTGATCGATTGGTTATGTGTGAGCAATGTGTTTTATTTTCTATACGCAGGATGCAAGCACAACTCTTCTGGGAGTTCAAGTTTGAAGATTCAAGATAGACAAAGTTAAGTAAATGGAGGGCACTGAATCTTTCAGGTACCATTACTAGTTTTTGTTCATCTCATAAATCTTCTTAAGACTTTTGCCAGACTTGGTGCAGAGTCATCATTGACAATATGTTACCCAAACATTTGATTCTGAGTTTTCAAAATAAGTATACTCTATTTCTAGAGATACTAGTAGAGAAAATGTTACAAGACAATGAACAAATTCTTTATTTATATAAGAGAACACTAATATCTGGTGGCATAAAATACTGAATATATCATTGCAAATGCGAACACTTATATCTGGTGGCATTTTATAAACAAAAGAAGATTTGGGCAGTTTTGTATGTATCCAAAGATATATGGTGGTTTTGCCAAACGCTAAATTGTATAAAGCTTGTAAATATTAAAAAAATTCCCAGCAAGCTTTACAAATATAAAAAGATCTCGGTCTGATTTTAAATAATAAAAGATCTGGGGTAAAAATATAAATACCAAAAGGGTTGGACGTTTTGTAAGTAGCTAGGGATTTGGAGCGTTTTCTTGTAAATATAGAATAAAAACAAGCATTATGGGCCGACCATATGGGCCTTTGGTTAATTTTGTTATCCGCATGGATTTAGGCTGGATTTTGAAATTTCAATATTATACAAATTAGCTTGCAGTAAAAAGCTTGAAGTGACAGCTATAGTTACCGTTGGAACAGAGGCAAAAAGAAAAAGAAAAAATAGAGTTTAATTTGTGACTGTTGTAAAATAAGACCGTTGCTTTGATCTCTTACAAACTCTTAATCTCCTCTTTCTCTCACCTATCTATAAATAAAGAGCTCCTCTCTTACAGAACTCTAAACTCTTCTTTCTCTCTCAGCTGCCTCTCCTTGGATGATGTTGTGTCTTCAAGGTGTGTTCCAATCTCTTTCCTTCTTTTCTCTGCTTACAAGTGGCAGTTTTTTGTTTTGTAATCTAATTGTTTTTGTTTGTTTCAGGTTGTGGAGAGTATGCTTGCTTTGTTTCAGCTCATTCTTCACTGGTTTATCAGGTGTTCTCCTTTACCTAGTATCCTTATTACACAAAAACGTTTTCAAAGGCTTTAAGGGGAAATTTTATAAAAACATGATTAGATCGTGAGGAAACTTAAGTGTAAATTAGTGAGATAACATTTTGAGCAGAATATGTCCCTACTGTTGTTGACGAATCCGTTAGAGTTAGTATGTTTATTTGTTTCTAACACTTATGATATCACTGAGCCTACTCCAAATCGGTCTTGTGATTTACCACTTGATTTGATCGTGAGGAAACTTATATGTGTACATTTGTGAGATAACATTTGAGCAGATATCCTGTCTCATGAGATGGTTAGATGTAAAAGTATGTTTCATTTGTTTTGAACACTTATGATCACTGAGCCTACTCCAAATCAGTCTTGCAATTATAAAATTTCCCCTGTTTTCTTTCTTTTTTTTGCTTTGTTTTTTGGTTTCTAGATTTTGTCGATGGTTTGTTCTATGTGTTCGATCTACTTGTGTTTTTTTGTTGTTTCAGATGCTGTGGTGGATGCGTTTGCTTTGCTCGATGATGGGGCTGTTTTGGGTTTTGATCCCTTCTTTGTTAGCGGCTTATCAGCTCTTCTCTGTTGATCTTGTGAGTGTAAGTTATCTATGAGCTCTTTTTCATTTATCTCTCTGTGTTCAAGTGGCAGAGAAACCAACTCTTGTCATGTTATTTTTCACCTCTTTTCTCTCTTTGTTTGTGTTATTTTTTTCTGATTGTTGTTGTTGGTCTATATACAGTGTGGCTTTTGATGGTTGAAGCTGGCTAGCTCAGCTAAGGACAGACTATACAGTGTGGGTTTTGATTTATGTTATGATGTTTGATTTCTCTGAACCAAGAGGCAAGAAGAAGATGGTGTTTTTTTGTCTTACTCTGTAACACAGAGTAATATCATGTATAGTTTAGTCAGTATCATCTTAGTATTAAGGTGGTTGTGTATCTGTTTTGTAATTGGTTGTGGAAGGTTTTCCATCAATATCCAAACATATAAAGTTGTTCAAAGTTGCAAGCTGTTCCAGCGAGTGTTGAAGCCACAAATGGATAAGTTTCATTGATGTATTTTTGTATCATTGTTTTTGAATTCAAGTGATATTTGAGTTAAAAAAAAAAGTCTCAGACAAATCTCATTCATCATTCTCTCTCTAATTTATAATTTATAACAATCCATGAACCATTTGCATTTACTCCCATTTGCAGGAATGGCTGATATGATCCTTGTTAACAGCAACTTCACAGCATCAACATTTGCAAACACATTCAAGCGTCTTCATGCACGAGGAAGTCACCCTGCTGTTCTTTACCCTGCAGTTAATACCGACCAGTTCAATAAACCTCAAGCTTATAAGTAGATTGTATATCCACTAGACTAGGCTCCAGCTAGTATACAAGTTTCTATAGATTCTTTATCTTCTCCTTTGTCTTGACCAGGTTGAACTTCCTCTCCATAAACCGCTTTGAAAAGAAGAAAAAAACATCGATCTAGCTGTTTCAGCTTTTGCTATTTTATGCAAACATAAGCAAAATCTAAGTGATGATGTTACCCTTACTGTTGCTGGTAAGTGTTCATCTTTCTTCCACAATCTAATATTGAACTTAGGTTGTTCAGGAGGGTATGACGAACGATTGAAAGAGAATGTAGAGTACTTGGAGGAACTCAAAAAACTTAGCCGATAAAGGAGTTTCTAATCGAGTAAACTTCATAACATCTTGCTCAACCGCTGAAAGAGTATGGGAAGTGAGGCCAGGAAGCATGTGGTTGAATCATTCTCTGTGAAGACGTTTGGACAGAAGTTGAATCTGTATCTAGTTGATGTAGTAGTTTCAAGTCCTAAAGAAGATTGAGATTCCTCTGTTTGGTAATAATATATCTTTCGTCGTACAACAATGTCAGAAGCAGTTAGAGACAAACACTGCAAGAAACAAAGCTTCCACTTCACATATTAAAAAAAAATTAGGATCTTTGAGTGTTCATTCTCTGTTGTCAAATAGAGACCCTTTACAAAATCACAAGGGTCAAGAGGTTACAAATAAACGAATATATAAAGCTTGTGTGTTCACTTTAAGCCTTACATGGAAAAAAATAAATTAAAAGAAAATCAAAGTGACATTGAGAATGATTTGGTTGAACCGTTTTTTCTCAAGAACTGCCTCTTGCAACTACCTGGTGCTTGAGTTTCCAAGAGTAAGCTCAAGATCATCAGAACCACTCACCTCATGTATCCTCTCTCCTTCCCAAGCCTTCACCAACCCGTTTGCGTTACTCCCAAACGCAAACTCAGGAGTAGCCACAACTTCAGACATTGGAACATCTCCTGTCTGAATAGCCGCCGGTGAGCAAGTCCCACTTTGACCTGGTGTCCACATCCTTGACCCACTTCCAAAAGGGTTCTGTGCAACAAGGCTAAACGTTGGTGAAGCTGGAACGCTTTGAGCGAGCTGAATCCCTGAGAACCATTCAGAGACAGGTAAGGTCGTTTGCCTAGTGGGACTAGGAGGTGTTGAGGAGACAAAGAAAGAGTTGTTGATTTGGTTCATTCCACGAGATGTTGGGGAGCTTAAAGGTGGGGTTACAGGAGCGCTTATGGAGCCTCCAGGGATGTAGAGGTAGTTAGGGAGTCTTGATGATGAAGAAGCTGAGGATGATGATGTTGTTGAGAGGTGTTTGAGCCATGGGATTAGTGATTGGCCATCTCCAGTGTTGAGATTAGCGAAAGAAGAAGAAGTTGGACTCATGAAGTTGGAGGAGCATGGACTTCCACCTATCTCCATACGCTCTACTGGTCTACTACATCCCTGCAAACATAAACTGATCATAAGGAGACAGACTAATAGAGAAACACAAATTATATTTGAAGTAATGTTCCAGGAGAAGAAACTCAATTTATTGCGTATGTAGCTTATAAACCTTTTGCATACCAATTCACAAAATTTGTGTTAAATGTTAAGGTCTAGTGATGAGTAGAACTAAACTGAAACAGCAAGTTAGTTTTTGTCCCAGTCACATAATAAAAACTCTCTGTTTCCTAAAACAAAACAATTTTTCTTGAACGTTTTTTTTTTAAGTTTGAACATTTGAGTCAAAGGATAAAAGACCCGACAGAAAATCATTGGACTCGGTTCTCGAGATTCAGAGTAAAGACTTGAGAGACAGTAAAGCAAAAGTGCACACATGCTTTTTCCAAACAAATCTACAGATCAAAACGTAGACTTTTGAACTCTGTGCAATCACATTTTAATCAGCTTTTCTAGAGATCTATGCTACTTTGCTTTTCTCTTTGGTGGGTATCATCTGAAAATAGACTAAGAGTCTAAGACCGAACCGCAAGTGAACCAAGACACTGAGACATAAAAAGAATCTTCTTTTAGACAAAAGCATAACTTTGCTTCAGTCAAAAAAAAAAAAAAAAAGCATAACTTTGAGTCTTTGACTAACGCTCCTCTAAACGCTAACTTAAACGCAAGGAACACGTTAGCAAGCTAGAATTTCCCGGGAAGGCTCCGGCGCATGTTAGAAGCAGTTAGTTTTCGATGTCTTAACGAATTCAAATCATGTTCTTCCGACACAAAAAAAAAAAAGTAAAAAAAAAAGTAAAGATCCAAAGAGAGAAAAGACCGAACCTTGCGATAAGTAGTACCATCAGGTTCAACGATCCAACCAGCTTCGTTACAAAGTGCTTTAAGCACTTCGTTGTTATCACAATGCTTAGGCAACTCGTAGTTTCCATACATTCTCAAACCGGTGAAGATCTTCGCAGAGATCGCTCTCCGTCTTCTCTCTCTCCTCTTGTTGTTCTCTCTCTCCCTCCACGTCGGCATTCTCGTCCCTGACGTCATCACTCTGTTTTCCTCCTCTGTTTTTTTTTTCTAAAGATCGATCAAATAGACAATTCTCACGCTTAGCTTATTAAACCTTCTCTGAAACAATACTCTCAGATCTGGAAAGATCGATAATTTGCGTGATCACACAATCTCTGATCACACTGAAAGTTTCAAGAAGGTTTAAGCTAGTTTGAGGATAAGCTGAACGACGTCGGATCAAAAAGATGCTTTGTAAAGTCGACGGTGGTTTAAATTTTCCGGTGATCGGAGGAAGTGAAGATGAAGGAGCTTTAAGCTAATCAAGAACTCTCTCTGCCAGAGAAGAAGCTGTTTAATACTTTTCATAATACTCAAGAGACATTTAGCTAAAGAGAAAACTAATAGCTTATAGACTACCCAATTTACCCTTGATTTGACCCTATATTTACGAAATAACCACTACGTGATGTCACGCGTGTCCCCCGGACCAATCACGTGGGAACATATTTATTTACCCATGATCAACCCGTAATTTACGAACATACCATCAAACCGTTTTCGCTGACGTTTGGAAGTTTCCTTTTCACGTGATGGTGCGTTCCCGGCGTGGCCATGTAGGCAACGGTGGCTCCATAGTCTCACGTGGCCGCCGGGCTCGTGTGTGTCACCCACGTTTGTCCCTCTCAACAGAACCTTCTCTTTGTGTGTTCAAACTTGTTGTTCAAAGCTGTTTCTGTCCAACATCAATGATTCAGACAGAACTTGGCAGAGATCATTGGCGTTACAGACAAGAGACTTAAATAACTGTCTTTGTACATTGATAAAAATAACTAATCATATATGATATTTGAAGTTTTATTAAATTTAGGTTGTTACAATGTTCATCTTATTACAATTTGTAGAATAATCTCAGCTTTCACCAAAAAAAATTTCAACAAAAGAAATAAGTGATTACCGTACCGGATCTAAACCGGAAACTTCAAAATTGTGAACCGGGATTCTAATCTGAAGTCTACAACCGCTTGGCTAACAGTCTCAGTATTTCCAATGAGGACTGAATCTTCTCAGAAAGAGCTGTGTAGAGCCATCTCTGAGCAGATTCATCAAGCTCTTTACCAGCAGAAGACAGCACAGGCCATTTAGCTTCTTGAAGAGGAGGAGCCATTACATTACTGGAGGCCAAGACAGCGGTCTCAACCATCATGGGAACATCAAACTCGATTGGTTCACCAACCACAACTCGAAGGTTCTTGTTCCACAGCGGCAACGGTGGTCTTTTACCATAAAAATACTTCTCCGGCATCATCTAAGTTAGTTAAGAACAATGCAAGTAAGTAACCAGTTTAGGACAATGGATGCATTACTTCATAAGACATGTTATTACCTCGTCAAAACCACGGTGGATTATTGGCAAGACGATTGGTGTAACAGGGCAACGAGCTATGAGGCTTGCGGTTCCCCATTTAAGACGTCTTATAGGAACATCTTCTTGAAAAACTTTGCCTTCTGGGAAGGTATGCAACTACTAGTCATGATTAAAACCAAAAACGTTAGAGGTTAGAAAAGATCTCCACTATTTTTTTTTCTCAAATGTGTAAAGATTAACTTACCCAAGATCCATCTTTTAACCGCTCAAGAGCTTCACTCATGTGTTCTTGGTAGATTCCACCACCTCTAGTTATAGGTATACACTTGCCTGCTTAAAAGAAACTCGTTAATATTCACCTTAGAAGCCCACAACCAAATCTATCAGTGTTCTAAAAATCGATCTAAGCGTTAAAAAAATCGGTCTAGACCCAGCCTATCAATAATCCCCTATCAAGTAGACACAAGTCCAGATAACTGAATAAAGTATTTCATTTGACCTGAAAAGAAGTAAAAGAGGGGTCTTACCAGTGCGGAAGATGTAGGAGAAGACAGGGTTCTTGAAACATATATCCTCAGCAGCAAGAACCCAACGAGCAAGTTCCGGATCTAAAGAAAGAAGACCCTTGAAACCTCCCCACATCACTGGATCATCTAAACTGATTTACAAGAAGTATAAAACAGCTCAAAATCATGACAAGAAGGGAAAAGAAAGAGATTATTATTTAAAACGAAGAAGGTTTTGAACTTTTTGTAACTAACGTGGACATGTGATTACTAACAGTGATGAGAGGAACACCAGGTGATCGTGAACGGACAAGAGTCATTAGTGTGTCTGCATTGTGAACTGTCGTTTTGTTACAAAGATTCGCTACTGCTCTCGCAAAAGCACCAACGGATGTTATAACAGTTTTCCTTGGGAGTCCTCTCAAGTGATCAGATCTTGCTGCCCATTCCATTATCCTCGAGCCCATTTTTTAAAAACCTCAAAGCTTCAAGTTTTGACCTTTATAACATATCATAACATAAGCTTGAGAAATTAAAAAAAAATAAAAACTTGTAAAGCTAATTGAATGCAAAGATTCCATAAACTAGGTTTTGTTTCCTTAAAGCATCAGTCTCTAATCTAGGAAACTCTTAGCGATAGAACTGAACTATTAAGGGTTTATCAATATCTTTACTTAGCTCCTCCTAAGAAGATGAGCTTTAAGATCGATACATTAACTTTGAAAAGGATGAATATACACTTACGATTAGAAACGAGACCACACGAGATTGGTCGAAGCAGCTTTGGTCGGAAGAAGTTCAGAGGGCAGAGTCTTAGAAGAAGAACAAGTTGAAATCTGGTTTCAGAGATGAACCAGATTGTCGGTAAGCGTAATTGGGCTTTATTGAGCCCAATTACATAGACCTATTAAACGTCTAAACCCAACATACATATGTTAACATAGCTTCGCTTGGGCCTGAAGAAACCATCGATGGAAGCTGTTTGCTTAGTTGAAGAGTGTAGCTGGAGAGACATTTGTATGCTTTGTTGGAGTAACACTTAACAGAAACATAACCATAAAAGGTTGGAATCCAAGGAATTAAAGAGGTTAAGCATTCTCAAATAATCTTCACACTTCAAGACCATGTGGAGGATGTGAAGCTTATGGAAGTGTTTTATCTTTTTATTGGTGACTTTGTGAATCGTATATCCTTTGCAAAGATTTTCAAAATCTTATTGCTTAGCAAAAGACAAACAAAACACAACCTTTTGAAAGGATGGATCCAGTTCCAGAGAGTTATTTATAAGCAGAACTAAAAGAAAGCCAAAACAAATCGGCTCCTTATTGAGATCACAAGTTACAAAAGTTCCAAATTAGAGAAACATGCACTTCTATAAACGGGATCTTGGTTGTGTAAAAATGTAAACTTCATCATAACCCTTCCTGCAAGATACACAATCCAAAGAACCGTTAAAATATACAACAAGAAAAGAAAAAGAATTGTGTAAAGATGGGTATAAGTGGCTTTACCCTGCGTATCCACAGTAAGTAGGCTTGTGGTTGTATATGAGGTTCTCCAGCACTTTCTCAGAAGATGGTCTGTTCAGTGACTTCCTAGCTTCACTGCACCAACATTCAAATCGAAAATATTCATCAAAAAACAAGTCCAAAAAACGTTGTTGGATTTTCCTTAACTAAATAACTGTGTAGGCTGCGTAGAGATGTTACCTGACTAAGTGACTAGCAGCATATTGTGTCACCTGGATAGCGTCAGCTGAGTGTGGAATTTGAGATGAACCCCATTCAAATGCATTTTTCTACATATCATTTCTCTTATGAATAAAAACTTGTTCACCAATATAAAGAAGTGTACAACAAGTAGAGTAATATACCTCAGGATGCCACTGGAAACCAGTTATTGGGTATCTCTTTGCTTTAACAGTTGAAACATAAGTCTGCAAGGAAATATGATTAGATCCGTTTATGTAGAAGAATCCTTTATTATGGTTTAGATTACTACCTTGTCGTTTTCATCAATGCAGGTTGTGACGATTTCAAAGAAACTAGACAGAGCTTGGTTGGCTTTAAATTTTTCTGGTGTGATACCCCACTGCAAAATTAAATAACAATTTGTATTAGCTAGTAGAGTGAATGAGAATGAAGCTTCAGAGAGTCCATAACATTCAATACTATATTCTGCTGCAAAAAACTTAGAGGTGGGCAATACTAACCCTGTGTTTCTGCATAACCAAACAGTCTGTACTGAGTTTCTTCAACAACTCTGGAGGAAATCTGTAAATATAACACAATCCAATTATAAGTGGATTAACTTGAAAATATAAACCTTCATAAAAGCATGGTAAAAGAAGCTATGCACCTTTGGAATAAGGTTCCTTCAATATTAACATTTTTAACGAACTGGAGACTTGACGCATTGTCTTCTGCATCAAATCTTTCAAGAATGCCTCTGTCCTGTTGTTACCAAAGACAATAGAGTAGATGTTTTAGTATAGAGCCTGCAGATCCCTATAATGTATTATCTCAGATACATATTCATGAAAACTCTAGCTTAAAGTTCCTTGTCTACCAATGAGATGGTGTGAAGGGAAGAGTCTATTACTTATACAACAAAACTCAAGTATATATGGATTGTGTAGACTCCTAGAAGTGATTAACTTTTAAAGCTCAACAAAACAATACGGAAGTTAAATAAGCAAACTAGAGTCTGAAAAGAAGGAAACAAAAAAAGAGTCACCTGACTAACGATGATAGACATAAGCTCGAATCCGAGGCAAATGCCATATATTGGAAAATGCTCTCCAGCATCATTTCTCTCCAACGCTTTCTGTCAGAAAACATATATTATAGTTTTCAGCTGACATGAAACCAAACAGATAAGAGTTCAAAGAATGACATCAACTTACTTTGAAGATTTTTGTAACCATGTCGAAATATTCATACTTCTTAGCCCAACCACCAGTGAATATCACACCATTGACTAGTTCCAGCTTCTGTAATTCACCAAAAAAAAGATATAACTAAACTGAGTGAAACCTAAACACAAAGGAGCAAGATTACAGAGAACAGAATATGACCTTGAAGAGAACATCTTCAGGCTCATTGTAGATAAGAGGGATGACACGTGCTCCACCTGCCTCCACGAACTTCACGTAAGAAGCTGCGATGTAAGTAGAGGTTGTATCATTGCTCAACCGACCTGACGCTCCATCACCAGGGTGGCTAAGTATCCCAATGACTGGTCTGTAGTTCAGGTTAGGATCCGGTGGGGAGCAAACAGGATTAGAAGAACCGTCAACGCCGGTTTGACTAGGGAGGTAGATGGATGCAGAAGCCTTGGCTACACCGATGTCAAGGAGTAGGAGCGGTAAGCATAAGCAGAGCTTCCACATCTTGGAGCCAAAATGGTGAAAGGATTCACAGCGTTGACTCTGGAGAGATGTGAGTGAGAATGAATGATTTAGATTTTTATTTATATAAAGAACTAAATCGTGTATCATCATCAATCATGATCATCATTCACACGCACACACTTTTCGAGAACCAATCTAAGCTAAAGCTTTCTTTCTAAACTAGTACTATTCATTATAACCAGAAACGTGTTTTGTCTTCTATTTTTATGTTTGTTAATATCCATGAGTGGGGCCTGTTAGTTAGTTATAAGCCAGCTAGATTGTTGTCTAGCCGTCGGATTAACGGATATACATTAGATCTGGTGGTCAATGCAGGGCTTGAAGGCATTCTAATCGAGTACTGGGTCGGGCCTCCATTTTTGTGTACCCATAATTTTTTTGGAAAGAATATGAAAATAAAATATATATTTTTACATATTCAATTAAAATACCATACACTAAACTATTAAATTTATATAAGTAAATCAATTATGTAAGATATAAATATTCAAATTCTCGTGTTTTAATTTGTTATTTGTTTTAAAATATGTATAGTTGTTTGTTATATTAAATGATAAATGGGCATAAAATTTACCTTTATGATATTAAAAATCTCCTATATATTAATCCTATAGTATTATAAAAAAAATATGAACTTAAATTTTTTTTTTAAATGGATTATCCGAACTTAAACTCAAACCAAACCTGTAAATATTCGAACCAAATACACAAAGATCTAAATCAAACAAAATCTAACCAAATCAAATTATATCCAAATGTCTATCTCTAATCAAATAAAAAAATTATTGATAATAAAATATATATTTAAATACAATATATACTCTCTTCTTTGTTCTTTGCGTTTGTTTGTCTTTTCCCTGACTACCTCAGTTACTGTATGTGCAGTCAGATTAGGATTGTATAAGTAAGAAACATTGACTTCTCAACCTAGAACTCGCGTTTAGCTTACTCTTCGCGAAAAGCCATGCATGAGTAATTAAGTATATTTGTTTTTTTTTTTTGTTACTAGAAACAAAGATATAATAGCAAAGAAAAAGATACGTTGTTCAAAATAGGAAAAAATAGCATATGAAAACACTAACAAAGAACCAACGCGAGTTCTTCTGTATCTGATATTTATAATAATCTTATTATCCAAGTAAAGATTAATTTATTCTTTTATAATGAGAATTATCATATAGGAAAAAAAAAATGCAAAGTTGTTCAAAAAGGGAAAAAACTGCATGTAAACGTCATATAAAATAAATTTTAAAGTTAAAGATTTTTGCCATGCAAATTCATCTATCAAAACCAATTTATGATAGGAAAAGTAAGTATATTCCTACTAGAAATCAGTTTAGGGTCTACAAATCTGTTTATAAATACCTCCCAACACATATTTTCTTTTCTCAAACAAATAAACAAAAAGGAGAAGCCAACGAGCGTACGTTCCTACGTCTGGATGGATTTCGATCTCAACATGCCCCCATATACCTTCAAGAAGATACTATCTGCAAGTGATGTCGGTAATCAAAGCAGGCTTTTGCTGCAAAGAAGTGATGCCGAGAACCACATCTTGAGTCATCTATCTGAAGAAAACAACAGAGCAATCCAAGCAGGCCAAGGAGTCAGGATTAGAGTGTGTGACCGCAACTCAAACACTGAGCACGAGCTTGTTCTAAAGAGAATGGTGAATACAACGGGAAGCTATGTTTTAAACGGTGGATGGATTAGAGAGTTTGTCAATAGGAGAGGTTGGGAGGAAGGACAGGAGATTGGACTCTTCTGGAATATCGATAATAATAGACTCGATATTTATATGCTTCCTCCTCCTCCAGATCAAAATAATCCTAACTAGGTGGAATTAAAGATCGTCTTCTCTTCTGAAGACTTAATATGACACCTAGATTGTCTTGTTTTTTTTTTCCAGGTTGTTAAGTAAGGCCTAGACATTACTCTATGTTTCTCTAGCCAAACAGGTCTGAGGTGTAGGTTTTGTCCCAAGTTTCTTTAGAGCTTTTAATAGGTCAAACTAAAACTTAATCTCGTCTCTAATCTCTTAAGCTTTCGGTTAATTCTTTGAGTTTAATTGTTTTGGTGTATAGATTTCTATCATTTAGGGTTTTAGGTTGTTTATGATGTTGTGGTAGCCAAATTATCATTAAGATAGTTACCAGCAAAAATAATATTTCACATTAAAAAACTTTATAGTTGCAAGCAATAGTAACAAGAATCTGCAAAGTCTCATCTGGTTTTGAGATGAAGAAACTACACAAACCCAAGAAGGAGAAAAACTAGAGCTTAGCAGAGAGTATCAGATACTCCATGGTGTGTATCTATTTCTGAAGCTGTATTCTCTTGTCCCTGATAGGCAGATCAAGCGGTCTCTGTGCCTCGTGAGGATGGTCTGGGCCTTTGTACACCTTCAAGTGATTGAACAGAGCTCTCCCAAGCTGCCACAAAACAATCAGATCATGTAAGAGAGTGAATGTGAAAACTAGTAATCAAATATATACCAAGGAAGTTTATCAATCTAACCCGTCCTTTTGGAAGCATCCCACGAACAGCATGCTCAATGATCCTTTCCGGGATTCTCTGCTGCAACTGATCAAATGTCTCTACTGTCATACCACCAGGTCGTCCTGAATGTCTCCTGTACAGCTTTTGGTTCCTTTTCTTTCCAGACACAGCAACTTTCTCAGCATTCACCTTTAACCAAAACCAAAAGAAGAACATAAGTTACATGAAACAAAACAAGTGTTTCACAACAGAGTCTTGTTTTCTCATTTCTCGTACCACAATGACAAAGGCTCCCATGTCAACACTGGGAGTGTAAGAAGCAAGGTTCTTCCCACGGATGTGGTTAGCAATTGTTGATGCTAATCTACCGAGAATCTTGTCTGTTGCGTCTACAACATACCAAGGCTTGTCTGTGTTCACATGGTCTGAAGCTTTTGGATACCATGTTGTGTTCCAAATGTCCTACAAAACCAAAAAAATTACAGACTCAATAACCGTTAAACACAATCCAAAGTCTATAACTTTAACATAACCCATTCTCCAAACACAACGTCAAGAAGTAAAGGTTCACACTTTACTAATCAAGAAGCAAAAAAAAAAAAAAATCAAAAAATCTAAATCCATTTGAGTTACTAAACAAGCAGACACACACATATAGTCTATAGCTTCAATAAAACCCATTCTCAAACACAATGTGAAGCAGATGAAAGTAAAGGTGCACACTTTACTAATCCAGAAGGAAAAAAAAATCAAAACTTTCAAATTCATTTGAGTATCTGATGCACTAAACTAACAAACAATGTGAATAACAAAAGTGTTGAAAGCTAAAGCAAGAGCGAGAGAGAGAGATCGTTAGTTACAGGGCCATTAGCTTCTTCTTCGTCGAACATCCATCTTTGATTCGCTGGAACAAGAGATGTAGTAGTTGCCTGCTCGGCTTCGCACTTCACCTGCACTCCTCTTTTTGTGTTAATGGTGACTCGAACCGTTGGTTTCAAGATAGCATTTAGAGAGAAGCCTAAGAACGCAGACCTTCTGTTACATACGGAGGTTTTCGCTGAAGAATAAGAAGGGAGTGTAACTGTCGAAGAGGAACAGAGAATCGTCATTGTTGTTCTTCTTTGCTTTTTCGATTTTTTTTTGGATAAGATTGTGTTCTTTCTTCAGACAAGAACAGTGGTGGCAATAAGTGTAAATAAGCTGATTTATTGGACGAGAAAGATAATATAAAAAACGGGTTCAGGATCCGACTCGTTTGGTGCTCCGGATCCAGCCCAAAAACGACTGTGTGATGTAAGCGAGACGAAAACAGAACCGTTAATTTGAGAGTCGTAAAAACATAGAAGACCAAGAGCTACATTTGCGTAGCTTCTACGAACTTTCGTGGTCCAGAAATAAAGATACGATATTGGCCCATGGGCCGTTACATCCTAAACACAGCTGTTCTCTATCTCAAAAGTCAAATAATCGTCGTCTCTCTAAAAAAAAAATCGTCGTCTCTCATCACTCACAGACTCACACTAATTTACACTTTATTGTTTGTAACTTTCTCGTTAAGGGAACGTTTCTTATAAAACAAGAGAGCTTTACTTTTTTGAACTCATTATAAAATACATCATATTCTGTGATTCGTCTCGTCATACATGTGATGCATGTACATTTACAGACGGACCAACTCTTTTTAAAAGGACCAGGAAAATAGAAGTATAATTAGATTTAATCATATTCGCTCGAATCAAATTGAAATTATGAAATTGATATAAACACAAAAGGAAAATAGTAAAACAATTTGACGTAAATTAGGACTAGAGAGAGAGAGTGATTACAAAAGCTTGTCGTCCAAATTTCAAAGTGATGATGGTGATTGGCTAAACACGCGTCCTACCTTCTTGTAATAATAAGATCAATTCAATTTCCTTATTACCAGCTTTGGTCTGAAAATATAAAAAGCGCTTTCTCTGCTTTAAGCTTTTACAGTTACCAAAACGTTTTCGGTGAATCATGGCCGTTGATTCGCCTAACCGGCGAGAACTAATCCTCAATATCAACGACGAGAACAGAACCACCATCAATGTTGTCACCGGAGAGACGACGGCGAAGACAAGGAGACAGAGAGACGGAAGTTACGACTTTTGGACTGATGGTGGCGAGCCGTCAGAGGAAGCCTTTGAGTTCCGGCGCGGCGAGGATCCTCCGACGAAGCTGATCGGTCAGTTTCTCCACAAACAGCAAGCAAACGGCGAGTTTTCTCTCGACATGGACTTAACCATGGATGAGCTTCAGTCCAAGAGTTTAACTCCGGTTACAGAGTCTCCGACCATTACCAAACCCGACGACGGAGAAGTTGTCAAGTGTAGTGGAAACGCTACGAGTCATAGAAACTCAACAAACTTGCTTAAGACGCGAACTAGGTCACGTCTTTTAGACCCTCCAACACCGAAGCAGACACCTTTGCCTCCAAAGTCAGGTCAGATAAAGTCAGGTTTTTTCGGTAAAAGCCCTAAGAATCAAGGAGATGAAGAAGGAGAAGAGGATCCGTTTAATGAAGAGGACTTACCAGAAGAGTACAAGAGAGATAAGTTAAGTCTATGGATTGTATTAGAATGGTTAAGTTTGATACTTATAATCACTGCTTTGGTTTGCACACTTATGATACCTTTCTTGCGTGACAAGTTACTATGTGAACTTGAGCTATGGAAATGGGTAACAATGGTTTTAGTTCTGTTCTGCGGGAGACTAGTCTCTAGCTGGATCGTGAAGCTAGTCGTGTTCTTGGTCGAAAGGAACTTTCTTTTGAGGAAAAGAGTTTTGTATTTTGTTTACGGTGTGAGAAGAGCAGTGCAGAACTGCTTATGGTTAGGACTTGTTTTACTCGCGTGGCGGTTCTTGTTTGATGACAAAGTGGTTGAAGCTGCAAACACCAAGGCGCTTCGTGTTGTGACTAAAGTGATTGTTTGTTTATTAGTTGGGTTCTTGTTGTGGCTTGTGAAGACGCTTTTGGTTAAGGTTCTTGCTTCTTCGTTTCATATGAGTACTTACTTTGAGAGGATTCAAGAGTCTTTGTTTATTCAGTACGTGATTGAGTCGCTCTCTGGTCCTCCTTTGGTTGAGGAAGAAGAGAGAGTCAGCGTTGAGGTTAAGTCAGGGGCTCAGAAAAGTAGGTTACTTTCTGATGTTGGAGGAGGAGACAAGAAAGGGATTACTATAGATGGTCTTCATAAGTTGAATAATAAGAATGTTTCAGCGTGGAGGATGAAGAGGCTGATGAAAATGATACGGCATGGATCACTTACTACATTAGATGAGCAGTTAGAAGATCCAAACTTGGATGATGATAAAGGAAACCAAATCAGGAGTGAGTTTGAGGCAAAGCTTGCTGCAAGAAAGATCTTTCACAATGTCGCCAAGCCTGGATCAAAGTAAGTGAATCAAACGCCTTGACCATATCACAATGTGGATACTAATACGTGTTCTTGTTTTAGATTCATTTACGCAAAGGATATTTCAAGGTTTCTACCAGAAGATGAAGTTTTAAAGACTTTAAGTCTCTTTGAAGGAGCTACTGAGACGCAACGGATCAGTAAATCATCTCTCAAAAACTGGGTGGTAAGTAAATTTGGATGATGAATTTACTTATCTTTTAACATATTAAATGAAACATTGTTGACAGGTGAATGCTTTCAGAGAGAGAAGAGCACTTGCATTGACCCTAAACGACACAAAAACAGCAGTGAACAGGCTTCACAAGATGGTGAATATTGTAGTTGGGATCATCATACTCATTATCTGGCTTATCATACTTGGAATCACATCCACCAAGATCCTCGTGGTCATGAGCTCTCAAGTTGTGGTTGTGGCATTCATTTTTGGAAACATGTGCAAGACAGTGTTCGAATCTATCATCTACTTGTTTGTGATACACCCCTTTGATGTAGGTGATCGTTGTGAGATAGACGGAGTCCAGGTAAGTTTAAACCTTTCAGTAATGTTAGTATAAAACTCTTTATTGATTCCTTTGTGTGTTTTTTCTCCAGATGGTTGTGGAAGAGATGAACATATTAACAACTGTGTTCTTGAGGTTTGATAACCAGAAAGTTGTGTACCCTAACAGTCTCCTCTGGATTAAATCCATTGGAAACTATTACCGGAGTCCAGACATGGGAGATGGAATTGAATTCTCCATCCACATTACTACTCCAGCTGAGAAAATCATCCTCATCAAGCAGAGAATCACAAGGTACATTGCATATTCTCACAAGTATTATTCATGGATACTTATATACTTATGACTTGCATTGGTTGTGAATATAGTTACATTGAAGGGAAGAAAGATCATTGGTGTCCAGCGCCAATGATAGTATTCAAAGACATGGAGTCTTTAAACAGTGTGAGGATTGCAGTTTGGACAACACATAGGATGAATCATCAAGATATGGGAGAGAGATGGGCTCGACGATCTCAACTTGTTGAAGAGATTGCCAAGATTTGCAGAGAGCTTGACATTGAGGATAGATTGTTTCCTCTTGACATCAATGTCAAAACTATGCCATCTCCTAACGGTTTGCCTGTTTCTGAGCGTCTTCCACCTCATTGGACTGCTCCGGCTTCTGGCAGCAAATGAATTGCATCAAGAGGTTCTGTTTTTTTTTTGTTTTTCTCATTTTCTAAAAATTGTAGTTACATATTTAGAATTTAGCTAGCAAATGAGCTACTTGATGATTACTAGACTTTAACGTCATGTATATATTATTGTAATATCCATACAATAGTTCACCAAATATAATATGTTGCAGCTAACAAGGAACATTGAGCTTTTAGTTACAGACCAACAACTACAGTACCATAGTTTCCAAATCATTTAAATGATAGTTCACTTCACACTACTAAGAGATCAGGCAATATTAGAACCGTCTCCGCCGCCGTTTCACAACCCTCTGGTTAGGGGAAGAACCGGTACAAGGAGTTGAAGAAGATATGTCCGGAACAAACAATGAGTTGTGGTCAAAATGTTTAGGCCAGTTTAGACCAGAAGCTGTAGGTGGAGAAGGAATCTGTGGAACCTCCCATGATGTCTCACCTCCCAAGCAATTATTGTTGCTATCTTCTCCATCTTCTTCACCAGACCTCATCATAGAAGAACTGTCTGAATCTCCTAGTCTACTAGTATCCGCCTGCAAAAAAATAAAACAGATTTTCATGATGAAAACACATAAAAAGATGACCAATCTTTACTTGTTACACACACTAATGATAACTAATTGTTTACCTTAGATGATGATCCGTTATTCTCCATGTATTCATAGCTCTGATCAAAGTCTGTTAATCCAAAAATCTCCTCTAATTGCCACTGACCAGTAGCTGATCCACTGCTTGCAAAAGGAAGCTTTGTGGAAACATGATCACTGACTTTAGTTTCCGGTAAACCCACCTGATGATGATGATCAAAATCCATCTTCTGAGGCTCAGATGTAGGTAAGGTAAACTGTTTAGTCTCCATAGCTTTATCATCATTGGATGATTTTATAGAAGGACCTGAATCCACAGATTCAAGACCAACTCTGATCCCAGTAAGAAGAAACCTCTGGTGAGCTGCAACATGAGGGTTCACAGTGTGGATTCCCACATCACATTTCCGACATAGTAAAGCTCTATCTTCCAGACAAAAGAAGAACCCAGAAGCTTCCTGTTAAAATTCCCAATATAAAAACAGAGCATTAAACAGAGCAATGGCCTCTCAATATGAAAACAGAGCATTAAACAGAGTAAACTGATTCTCTAAACAAAGTTTCAAACTTTTTATCATCAGAACCAAAATATTCATACAGACATGGAGACAGTACAAAGGTTTCTTAAATCTAGAAACTGGGTTATGTCACAAACTCTCATAGCTTCAAAAAGACTCAAACTTTTCAGAGATGATGAAAAAGAGAGATGAGTTCAGACCTGACAAATGTCGCATTTGGGTATGGAAGAGGAAGAGACAGAGAGAGGGACTCTCTGGTGTTTCTCAGCGAGTTTATTAGCGGCGTGAATTTTCTCATCGCAATTCCAACACAACGCAGCTTCATCGGCGCAACATAGCACTACCGCTTCCGCGGCCTCGCAAACGTTGCACTGAATCTTCATCCAACAAAAAAAAAAGCTTTGAGAAGATGCAATTCTCTAGAAAATGAAACTTATCCTTTCGTTTCTTGGATTGCTGTCGGAAACTTTATTTGTCTCCTCGAGACTTTGAGGTTTATGGTTTAAAAAAGTCTTTACGTTCTACCAATTTGTCTGAATGAGAATTTTCTGATAAATATTTTTTCTGGTCAAAATGAATTTATTTATAGTTTTTTTGAATGGATTCCAAATTAAAAAAAAAGTTTATAATATCAAGATTATATTCCTACACGTATGGTTTACAGAAGCCATAAACAAATTAATAAGGTAGAAGCTTAATCAACCGATCATTCAGATTCTAGATTAGTCGTTGGCTTTTAAGGAAAAAAATATCATATAAATTAGTGAATTACTACTGGTGGGTGTCTGAGCACTGTATATAAGTTGTTGGGTCGAAGAGAAAATATGAAAGAGTTGAGGATATTTTCTTGGACTGGTGAGAGAACAGTGGGACGACACCTGGCAGGCTTAGTACATGTGTCTTAATTGCAGGAGACCATCTCTGCTGTCTCAAGCTGTAGTTAACACATCTCTGCATCACTTGAACTTTCTTGTACTCATGCTCAGAATATCTACTGTTTGCATTATACAAATCTACATATAATGATGGAATGATAACGAAATGTTAACAAAGAAAAATATCCAATATAATAATATCAAGACTATATTCATACACGTATGGCTACACAAGCCATAAAAAGATTAATCAGCATGCAGAATATCAATCAACAACCAATCATTAAGAAGGTCCCATTTTGAAAAAGATCTTTCTCCAAAATTAACATTTTGCACGAGAAAAAAACTTTTTCAATTTATTTCTATTCAAGAGGATCAGACACATCCACGTTCTTGGTTCAAGAAAGATAGCTACTTTCAATTAAACTTCTTCAAGAATCAAAGAATCTTTCGGACAAAAGAACATGTGCCATAACTATCTACACACGTGGGTTGAAAGCTGTCTCTCAATGCAACTTTATGAACACATTCTAGTACCTTGATCTGATCTGAGTAAAGCCTTGAGACAAGAACACGTTTAAAACCGGCGCATCTGATGATATCTCGATTGTATCGCCGAGCTGCACGATGTAATTAACCTGACAACCGTCGATGTAGATAGTTCCATGATCTGAATACCAGTTAACATCCATGGTTTGCCCCGCTTTGAAGGATGAATGCATTTGAGCAAGGGTTGGACCGGGAGAGATGGGCTCTCTAACCATAAACTGTAGATCAGAAGACAACATTGGCATCACGAACCCACCTGCTGACAGCATTGCTGCAGTTGAGCCAGCTGCTGTGCAGACTCTTAGACCGCTCGAGCGGCAGTTCACTGTCTTTGGATTGGTATCTCCATCTTTGTTCTTTATCCTGCGCATGTTGTGTAACACATTGGCTCATATAAACACTCAAAACAATAAACTTTAAAATGTGTACTCTTACTTGAACGAGAACTTTGAAACAGCGGCAGGGCATGGATGTGCGATCAAAATGTCATTAAATGCGTGCGAAAGAAGAGGTTCTGAGTTTAATTTTACTGATATTCTCGATACTTTCGAAGGAACTACTCTGCCAAACAAAATGTCATCTAGTACCTATCAAACAAATAGTTGAATGTTCAAAACCGATACAAGTAAACAAATAGGCTTATTCCTCTATGAAGCTTTACTTACCTGTTCAAAGTTCTCAACCGTTGCAGCACAAAGATGACCAGTGCTTCTACTAGCGTCAAACTGATCACTTAGTTCTTCCACCTGTAATCATAACAAACCACTTACCTTCTTTTCACATTACTAATTTTGAGAAAGATTCATGCTAAAAAAGACCTCGTGAGCTTGTGTAGGGTCAGAATTTACTCCAAGAACGGCAACAGAGTCGTCTATAAAATGACTAGCGTGCAAGAGTGTGCCATCTCCACCAACGGTGATGACCATATCCACATCACGAATGGGATGTGATAAGTCACTGCGTGAAATGGGTTTCCATTCAACTGGCTTCTTACTTAGTATCTCCTGACAAAAGTTTATAGCATCTCTGTGTACTTTAGACCTGCTCTCTAGATATCGAAGAACCTAAACAACAACAGCAACAAAACAGAGCCAACAACGTTAGAAGAAGCAAACTAAACAATAACAAATTATAGTTTCCAAGTGCATATGAAACCCAAAGCTAAAATTTCCTTAGCAACCCATCTGCACAGTTGAATTGCTACTATTGAAAGATGGAAACTTTTCACAGTGAGTACAAGAAGGAAGCAGAAAGATTTGTAATTTACGTTATTACATAGACATGGCAACAAGACCCAACATGATTTTCTCTTCATTACATTATCAAACGTTACGGTCGTGTTCTCTGAGGAATTTCGTCGAACAGCTTCAATGCAAAAACGAAATAAACGTGATCTGGCTAAAATAAAAAAAATCAAAATCTACCTGATGGTTTTTGATGAGAGAGACACCATCTGTTTCAAGGAAAGGGTATAGATCAATCGGTTTCAGTAGAAGCAAAAGCTTCCTGATCGCCATTCTCTTCTCTCTCTATTGATATATTTCTGTGACTCATCAGAGTGGAGCAAACCAAATGATTCATGAAGATGACGACCCCAGACCCTCTAGTTCTTTAAGAGGTCTCTCCTTGAAAAGGCCCAATCCAAATTCTACTAGTGGCCCAATTACTCGGATCCAAATTTTCTGATCCGGTTCAAGTGCCTCTCGCTCCCGGCGAATTTTAGTGGCTCTTGATGTTTAAAAAACTATTTTCCAACTTCTAATTTTTTGAAATTTGTTGTTAATTTTACTATAGAATTTTATGTTTTATGTTTCATGAATTTGGTTGAACAGGATTATTTCAAAGAAATTTTATTAGATGAAAAAAGAGGTTTGTCGGTTTACAAATAGAGAAATAACAGTAGAAACAAGCGGAACTCAAAGAGTTGGCTAGGAAAGTACAAGTAGACTTAAATGCTAAAGAGGTAAAACTCATTCTAGCCGTACGTGTTTGTTCTCTTTTTATTCTTTCTCTTTTTCTTATATAACCGGCGTCGTGTGGATGCCCTAACTCGGTCCAATCTAATGGGCTTTTTGAGCAGGGCTGATTTAGTGGGCCTTGAGCCAAGCCGTTGAGGCGTCTATTGTCAGTCGCCATTACCTGGATCAATCTGAATTCGGTTTTGTCGACTTAAGACATACGTAACTTCTCCCCTAATCTTAGTTGCTGGCCAAGCCGGCAGATAGGTTATTATTAGGTTGAACCTCTTACTTATTGGGGTTTATGGAGGGTGTAAATCCACCTCCTACAATTTATATGAGTATTTAAGAATTATGATAATTTAGATTAAAATTTTGGAAAATATTTTTATTATCAATATACGATAATTGAAAATGTGAAAATGTGTAGGTACATTGTAGAGTCCTAGCCTTCTAGACGGCACTAGTCGGAACTAGTCCCGGTCCAACGTCTCGGCCGTCAGGAACAAACCTTGGTAGGATCAGATCCTCCTAATCGAGTGGGAAGTCCTTTAAAGATTGTCCTGTCTAGAATCTATGAATTTGATGTGGGGTTCATTTTGAGATGGTACCGGACCGGTTAGGCTTCACGTGTGTTTCATAATGGTGAGACCGCTTAGACCAACTCCATCGGGGGTAATAGTGAAGGGTTCTTCCAAATAAAAGGGGGAAAAATAAATGAAAAAAGAAAAAAACACACAGAACCGCGGCTTTAGGAGAGAGCGGTAGAAGTTGTAATAACCCCATACGTGGCAGGTTCTGATAGGTTTGAAAAACGGTGACTACTTTCTTCTTTTTCGATCTCGGAACAAAAGTTTTTGTTTTCTCCTCTCTCTCTCTCTCAGACAAATTTCTCACCGATGATTCTTTGGAAATCGATGGTGATAGGTGTGGGGGAGGAGATGATTATCTCTGTCTTCGTCTCTCTGTTCCCGAAGAGTCCTCTCTTCGCCATCGATGTTGTCGATGTTGATCGGTTTCTCCAGAGACGAATCTGTCTCTTTGCCTTCGATTATGACGAAATCTCCAATAGGAGATGAAGGTTGATCTATTTTCTCCCTTTGTCGGTCTTCTCTTTGATCTATTTTGATTATGACGAAATCCCGTGAATGTTAATTTTTTATTTTTTTGCTCAGATGTTCATGAAAAGTGGTGTGATGGAGATCGATTAGGGAGCCAACGCGTTCAATCTCGACTTTCATCCATCGAAGAATCTACGATACAGAGTCTTCACTTGTCAGGTAATAATAAAACTCTCTTTGTATCTTCAAAGTTTGTTTCTTTTTTGTTGTGGGTCTTGTATAGATAGCTGATTTTTTTTTATTAGGGAGAGTTAAGTTTGTATTGTTGGTTGTTTTGGATTCTGTTGTATTGTTGATTGGTAATAAAAACATTAGTGGAGTATTGACTCTTGGAAAGCTTATTTTATCTGCAGGCTTTCGCAGCTCTCTGATGGATGCCATAGGGAAGTTTCAGCAGAGCAAAGCTGGTGGGATGTTCATAGATTCATGCTTCACTCATTGCCAGACTGTTACGTCAGGGACATGAATCGAAAACAAGGTAAAATCTCTTTGACACACAATCTGTTGCTTTCTTCTTACAGTTGAACTGATCAGGTTTTGTCTCTCTTCTGTTTTGTTGTTGGAACTTGGAACAGACAATTGCAGAGTCTGTAGGTGACTGGTACTTCTGGATGAATCCGGGTGAGTCACAAAGGTTTTTCTTGTTCTTGAAGCAGAGTTCTAATAGATAAAATCAGAGTTCATATTAGCTTCTGATATTAGATGCTTACCCTAAGATCAACGATGACTTTTACAGCCGTACACTCTCCGGCGGATTGATCACACTAGCTTCTTCCATCTTCATGCTCATCCTCTTCTTCTCTGAGCTCCGTAACCACCAATTCTTCTCTCCTCAAATCTCGTAAACTATTTTTGGGAGAGAGTACCCATTAATAAAGTTTGAATCTTTACTTTATTATTTTGTTAGGAATTTATCTTCATCCTGTTACTGAGTCTCAGCTTCGTGTTGACACATCAAGAGGAGAGAAGCTACGCATCAATGTAGATAACTTTTTGTTTTGTTTTCTTACTTTTGATTGAAAGTTTCTATCTCTAGATGACTTGCTGAGGTGACTTTCTATTTTTGTTGTTTTTGGCAGTTTGATGTGACTTTCCCTGCACTTGCTTGTTCGATTATTAGTCTTGATTCTATGGATATTAGTGGAGAGCAACACATCGATGTGGTATGTGTTTTACCTTTTTAGTCTTGGCTCTGTTACAAAAAAGTGTGATGTGTTGTTGGTCATTTGAATTGTAGAGGCATGATATAGCTAAGAGAAGGTTAGATTCTTTTGGTAATGTTATTGAGACAAAGAAAGATGGGATCGGTCATACGAAGGTTAGAGATTTCATTTCATTTACAAGTCTTTTAAGGATTGAAAAAGATTGTGTTTTTTTTCTAAATTCTGTGATGTTTTTTTTTTGTTTTCTTTAGATTGAAAATCCATTACAAAAACATGGTGGCAGGCTAGAGCATAATGAAACTTATTGTGGTTCTTGTTATGGAGCTGAAGCAGTAAGTTTCTTACATGTTCTTAAACGTGCAATAGAGAAGATTCTTTACAAAGCTGTTTAGTGTTTGTTCCTATAAACATCATTCTGATTTCATGATACTTTGCAGTCTGACGATGAATGTTGTAACTCATGTGAGGAAGTTCGTGAAGCTTATCAGAAGAAAGGTTGGGCCATGTCAGACCCTGATATCGGTTTTTTCTCTTTCACGATTTGTATTTGTATTTCTAATATGCTTTTATGTCGTTTTTATTAAAACTTTTATGTCCTTTTTATTAAAACTTTTATGTATGTTTTTATTTAAATCATTCTATTTATAAAAAAAAAAAAAAAAAAAAGTAAGAACCCCATAGGGGTTCTCCCATTGGAGGTCAAAAATTTAATTAGCACTAACAAAGGTTCTTAAAGTTTCAAAAGCCCATTTTTATTCTTAAACTAATCTAAAGCACCCATAAGGGGTGTCTATGGATGGACATGCTCTTATAGTGGCCAGTACCGAACCTATGAATTTGACCTAGAAATATCAGAATTCATGTGATTGTCTATGAGTGAGGAGCCAAATGTAGTAAGCTACTGTACGAGAAATCTAGTTGAGCAACCTAAGACATAGCTTATATTTTGTCCATATATGTAAAACATATATGATTTGAATAGGGTCGAAAATTAATAATGTTTTAAGATAAGGCAAACCGCCAAACATAATACATACAAGTTATGGTGGATTGTACTAGAACCACATGATACAAGATAAGTAAACTACTATATATTGCTGCTTTATTATGTATACTATTTTTACTAAGCAATATTTGTATACTTGTATTTGAGTCGTTAAACATGAAATTACGAATCACATCCATGTAAATTATTAATTTTATTATGTAATTTGTTTTTTTATAGGCTAAAATATGGTTAGATATATATATATATATATATAACTGTATTTTTATGTAGAAAATATATAAATTAATTGTTTTCTTAATCTATATGCACAACTGTAAAGTAAGGAAGTAATTTTTATCTTGCAGAAAGTAGTCAGCAAGAATATTAATAATGAAAATGATTTGATATCCTTTACTTTTAGTTTCGTGTGATTCTAGTCATTTGTTATATTTTTGGCTATGTTTTGGTTGAAGAAGAGAATTACAGAAAAAAGGGAATTTAAAAGGTGAAAAAGAGAACAAATTCCCTCCAAATGATTGGGCCATAAAATAAGATGAGAGGAGCCATACACACACACACACTCTCCTCATAAAACCTTCACAAAATCTCTACCGGTCTCTGATATATGCTAGTGACTCGATCGCTTTTGTTGCTTTCACCTGCGGCTGCATCGTTCCTCGATCTAGGTTAGTGTTTTTTTTCTTTCACTCGCATCTCATTGCAAAACCGTTTCAGCTTAGTTAGATTTGTTGAATTTGATATTTTTACGATATATTTCCCCTTAATAAGAGTCGTCTTGTTTCCTTTTCGTCTCCTTATGTCCCGTCGCGATAGCTAGGGTTTTGGTGGTCTTAACAGGGTTTAGATAACTTGGTGCTCGTCTCTTGATTTTTGCCTGATTGGTGATCTGACTTACCATTCAGATTGATTTATACTCTGTGATGAACTTAATTACATGGTTGTATTTAGGTTCCGGAATCTTTTTTTTTTCACTCAAAATCTAAAGTAGGATTTGAGATAATAAGTGATATTGCAGCTTGTTTGGAAAGTTTTGGATCTTAATTAGATATTCATCTTATGCAAACATATATCATTGACAACTAAATTAAAATAAATGAGATGTGACCCGTCTGTGTCTTATTTCTCAGTTAAGGTGTTTGCAATTCTTGGCAAGCACATATAATAAACATGTTCAACTAAGCATTAATTCATATACAATTCAAGGATGCTTTTCTTTTGCAAGATCCAAAAAGGATAGCAGTGATTAGGGGTGGGCACGAAGCAAATATCCGGGTATTCGAAGGTATTCGTGATCCGATCCGTTTCGTCCGAATAATCAATTATCTGATTCGATTCGATCCGTAGCCATCCGGATATTCGCTGCTCCGGATATCCGGAAAATTTTAAATTTTTACCGGATATCCGATTCGATCCGTAAAAAACAATAAAAAAATTCAAAATAATATAAAATAATTAATATTTTATTACAAAATGCAATTTATTTAATTTTTAAAATTCTAAAAACTAATATAATAAATTTAGTAAATAAAAATCTTGTAAAAAATAAATGAAATATAATATTTATATAACTTCTATATATACTTTAAAAATATATATATGTATATAACGGATCGAATCGGATATTCGTTCCTAAAAATTTTAGTATTTGTGATTTGCTTCGTTTCTTACGGATATCATATTTCAGTATTTGCTTTGATTCGTAGAGCTACGGATATCCGGATTTTTCGGTTCGAATCGAAACGGATAACGAATCAAATCAAAATTTACGGATATTTTACCCAGCCCTAGCAGTGATGGTGATGATTTTGGGTTGGGGGAGTTAAAACCTTCTCATTCAACTTAGGACTGGGTAATATCATCTATCTATTAAAAGAATGAACCCATGACTAAATAACTCATTTGCGTGTAATCTTTTTCAATACTTCCCAATACTTAGAACAAATACATTAAGGATAATTATCCCTTTTTAGTGGGTGCTACATGGTCAATCTTTTTCAGTATATCTCCCAATACATAAATATTTTTCTATCAACTGAGAAGATCTTGTTGGGGTCCTAGTGATTGTGGCTCCCGTGCCTACTTGAATGAGTCACTGCAGTCTCGGGGAAAATCAATCTCAAACTTAAGCATTTCTCCTGTCTGTATTGAAAATGGTTGATACAGTGCCACTTGGTTACAAAGTAGTCTTGGACGTTAGAACAAGTGCAAGGTGCGTGTTCTTGGTGCTTAGTCATGGGGTTTTCTATTGTTTTGTTGTCGCTTTTATTTATTTCACTCACATGTGTTGTGAGGTTATAAAACATATAGTTATCAGCTATATGTATAACTCTTTTTTTTGCAAATAAGAAGACTTAATATACATATAGGCAAAGCAAAAGTGAGGTCAGCAAATCTCATAAATATATGATGCTTATTAGATTTGCTCTGATTAGGTGGACCAACAGTTCGTTATACTTTCTTTTTCATTTGCCTTTTTGTTACCGACACATGTTATTGGACGCATCGTATATGTGTTGTCTTATCCACACACACACAATATAAACACTACCAACTCGTCTTCTTCTTCCCTTACCATATAAAGGAAACACCGTGTCTTCATGCTTGTTTAATTTGTTGGCGTGAAAAAATCATATGGGCTTTTTCTTCTTCTTCCAAAGTCAATATATGAGCAGTAACGCTCTAAAATTCAATAATGCTTCTCTTTATAAGCATGAAAAATGCTCATCCCGACAAATGAGACAGTGTGAACTGGTAGATTTTGAAACTAGTTTTAACATTATTTTCCATTATGCATATCATTGAAGAGTTTGACGTCATCGTTATCTCTATGCTAGAGAGTGTGTTGTACAAAGTCAGGTGTCGGTTTTACCCTCTCAAAAGTCTAATTTAGGTCAGTGCTGGGCAAAGAAAATTACTTTCTGTCTTTCTAAATTAAAGCATCTGATTCCCTTTTTTTCTACCTTACCAAACTAAGCACAGTTTACTTGATGATCATCTCTCTTATAATCTATGTTCCTTGTACTTTGTGCACATTGGAACACACTAACTTAACCATCCTCCTTTGAATAGTATCATTTGAATTCTTACTGTTTAGTGAGTATGAATATGATATTTGGGGTTTAATATGATGCCTTTGATAGCACTGTCGCTACTGACTCTTGTTCCTCACTCACTCAGTCTATGTTTATGTATATATTCAGTCTATGTTTATACAAATGTATATATAAGCCCTAATAATAATGCTGTTCATGGTCAACTTTAAAAGAATCCATTTCGAATAAAAGCAAAAGAAGGTAGATCTTTATACATTGTATTCCCACAAAATCAAATCCAACGTCAGGTTCGGGCAAGTGAGAGAGGTCATTTTCAGGTTATTGGGTTAGAAAGAAAGAAAAAAAAATTGGCTAGGCGGAGGAGGGCTCCAGGTTCCGGATAGGCCAGGGACCCACATTGCTATAATAAGTAGGAGAAAGAGGAATAATTCAATGGTGATTACGTCATCTCATCTTATTGTAGTAAAATCTTTTAAAAAATCTATTATTTAATTCAAAACATATTTTGTTAATAATAATATCCATGTGATTGCGAAGTGTGTGTAGGTGATCTTTCTCCGCCCCCATATCTCCGGGAGATTTTCACCGGCGGTGTTTAATATAATTTGATAGGAGTTTTGAGACCTTTTTTTATTTTGGTTAGTGGTGGGGAAAAAAAAGAAAAAGAAAGAAAATAAAAGTCTTGTCTATGTTTTCAGAGGACCGAATCTTGTGGTGTAGTATCACTTATGCATGGCTGTGAAGCCTCTGTGTAGTCTGTAAAGCTTACACGAGGATTTTCTTGCTCCCTCTCCTTAATTCTCTCTCTCTCTCTATGATAATGTCTCTCACACCATTCCCTTTGGCCTTCTCTCATTCTGTTTACATTATTACATCTCTCTTTAATTCGTTAATCTTTTGGCTCTATTTACTCACCCTCTCTCGATGATAACGACTTCAAAGTTAAAACCCACCCCAAGAAAGAAACAAAATATTCTCAAGTTTATTTCCTTTTCAGCCTTTTGTCTTTGCTTGTTGTTGAGAATCACTTGCCTCTCTTTTTGTATGTTTCTTTTGAGTGGCTGTGAAGGTGTGTGATTCAGTAGGTGCCCCCTTCCTTGTTAGCCCTTTTTTTTTTTTTTTTTTTGTTTCGAAATAGTTGGCCTGTTAGTAACTTAGGATGATCCTATTGTCTTTAGTATCATCTTCAGTGTTTGTTTTTTTTGTTTTCTTTCTTCTCTTTCAATAACATTAGATAACTGAATGGTGATAGACAGTGACATTTTTTTTTTTTATTGTTTAATATTGCTTGACACTTAGTTTTGTTAATGTGACCTCAGCATTTTGTTCTGTTTTGGTGTGAGCGTATGCCTGGAAACAAGTACAACTGCAGTTCGTCTCATATCCCACTCTCTCGAACAGAGCGGCTCTTGAGAGAAAGAGAGCTTAGAGAGAAGAGGAGAAGCAACCGTGCTCGTAATCCCAATGAAGCTGTTGGCAGTTCTGAAAACTCTGACAGTGACCTGCGTTTAGAAAGGGACAGTTCAAGGCAATATGTTGAGCAGTACTTGGAAGGTGCTGCTGCTGCGATGGCACACGATGATGTGTGTGAGAGGCAAGAAGCAAGACCTTACAACAAGCAACGCCTGCTTGTAGTGGCTAACAGGCTCCCGGTTTCTGCTGTGAGAAGAGGTGAAGATTCATGGTCTTTAGAGATCAGTGCTGGTGGTCTAGTTAGTGCCCTCTTAGGTAAGTTATTATTTTATTACATTACTGATTACATATGAAAATAAGGCCTTAGTACGATCAGGACCGACCCTTAGATTTTGGGAATTTATAAATAATTTAGTAAAAATATATTTTAACAATTTGGAGGCCTTTGTTCATATATATTATTCTAGAAATTTTAGGAGCTCAAGACCAATGTTTCATTTTGCTATGTCCATAGGCTGACATAAAACTATGGTGTTTTGTAGGTTTAAAGGAGTTTGAGGCCAGATGGATTGGATGGGCTGGAGTTAATGTGCCTGATGAGGTTGGTCAGAAGGCACTTACCAAAGCTTTGGCTGAGAAGGTACATAGTATCTCTTGTTAATGTTGCTGCCAATAAAAAATGATCTTGTGTATACATGGGAGTCTTATGTTGTTAAACTTTCAGAGGTGTATCCCTGTGTTCCTTGATGAAGAGATTGTTCATCAGTACTATAATGGTTACTGCAACAACATTCTATGGCCTCTGTTTCACTACCTTGGACTTCCACAGGAAGATAGGCTTGCCACAACAAGAAGTTTTCAATCCCAGTTTGCTGCATACAAGAAAGCAAATCAAATGTTTGCTGATGTTGTGAATGAGCATTATGAAGAAGGAGATGTTGTCTGGTGCCATGACTATCATCTTATGTTCCTTCCTAAATGCCTTAAGGAATACAATAGTAAGATGAAAGTTGGATGGTTTTTACACACACCATTCCCTTCCTCTGAGATACACAGAACACTTCCTTCACGTTCAGAGCTTCTTAGATCAGTTCTTGCTGCTGATTTAGTAGGGTAAGATCTCTACTTGCTAGTAGTACTCTTCCATGGTAATGGCTCATAATGTTTACTTTTCAGTTTCCATACCTATGACTATGCAAGACACTTTGTGAGTGCTTGCACTCGTATACTTGGGCTTGAAGGAACACCTGAGGGAGTTGAGGATCAAGGCAGGCTTACTCGAGTAGCTGCTGTATGCCCATTTCATTACTTCAACCCTCACATCTATCATCTCACAGTGACAACAAAACTCATAACACCTCGTCTTCTTATTTTTTTTCTTTGGATTTTAGTTTCCCATTGGTATAGATTCTGAGCGGTTTATAAGAGCACTTGAAGTCCCTGACGTTATACAACATATGAAGGAACTGAAAGAAAGATTTGCCGGCAGAAAGGTAAGGGAAAATCTCTCTGAAAGATCTTCTGAGACAGGCTAATGAAAGTAGTTCATAAAGTGTTTGTTCTTGATAGGTGATGTTAGGTGTTGATCGCCTTGATATGATCAAAGGGATTCCTCAGAAGATTCTTGCATTTGAGAAATTTCTAGAGGAATACGCAAACTGGCGTGATAAAGTGGTGTTACTGCAAATTGCAGTGCCTACAAGAACAGATGTTCCTGAATGTAATCCTTCTTACTTGGAGTACAAGTTTTCATGGGTAGCTCTTCAAATTGTTTAGTAGTAGCTACTCTAGATGAACTAGTAACCTAACCTCTTTTCAAAGTATAGTATCTTCAAACCTGTAGCTAATGAATTGAACTTGTGGATGTTTTTTTTTTTTTGTACAGATCAGAAACTCACAAGTCAAGTTCATGAGATTGTGGGACGCATTAACGGTCGTTTTGGGACACTCACTGCAGTTCCAATACACCACCTGGTCTGTTTTTTTCCCTCTCATGCATTTTCCTATTATGTTAGGATTTAAAAACTATTTTAGCAAACCATTTTTGATGGTACATGGGTAGAGAAAATATTAAATGTATTATGTTGTTATGGATCTTATAGCTTGAACATGAAACCATGCGATAATGTTGATAAAATTCTCATTCCCTGTGATCAGGATCGTTCTCTGGATTTTTATGCTTTATGTGCACTTTATGCCGTGACAGGTAAATAGTCTAGCTACTTGTGGGTATGGTTACAATTTGTATGGCTGGTAAACATTAGTTTCTTTGATCAGATGTTGCACTAGTCACATCTTTGAGAGATGGGATGAACCTTGTCAGTTACGAGTTTGTTGCTTGCCAAGAGGCTAAGAAGGGCGTTCTCATTCTCAGTGAAGTAATAAACTCACATACTCTGCAGCTTCATGATGCTTTGCCTCAGATGTAATTGTTTTTAAAGTTGCATTTGTTTGACAGTTTGCAGGTGCTGCACAATCTCTTGGTGCTGGAGCCATTCTTGTGAATCCTTGGAACATTACAGAAGTTGCTACCTCCATTGGACAGGCCTTAAACATGTCACCTGAAGAAAGAGAGAAAAGGCATAGGCATAACTTTCATCATGTCAAAACTCACACCGCTCAAGAATGGGCTGAAACTTTTGTGAGGTATATGCACATTAATGTCACCAAATGGCATGTGCTATTGAAATGTAACTCTTTAAAAAAATCTGCAGTGAACTAAATGATACTGTAATAGAGGCCCAACTAAGAATCAGCAAAGTCCCACCTGAGCTTCCACAGGATGACGCGATTCGACAGTATTCAAGGTCAAACAACAGGCTACTGATCCTGGTAACTTGTTGTAGAAACTAAGTTTTTGTTATAGTACTTCCATGATACTACTTGAAATAAATGATACTTGTGGTCACTAAAAAATTCAGGGTTTCAATGCAACATTGACTGAGCCAGTGGATAATCAAGAGAGACGAGGAGATCAAATAAAGGAGATGGATCTTAACCTCCACCCAGAGCTAAAAGGACCGTTAAAGGCGTTATGCAGTGATCCAAGTACAACCATAGTTGTCCTGAGTGGAAGCAGCAGAAGCGTTTTGGACAAAGTATGTACATATTTTCTTTCTTGGAATACAAGTTTCACTTACTGACTTGTTTCTTTACTTAAAATCAGAACTTTGGAGAGTATGATATGTGGTTAGCTGCAGAGAATGGGATGTTCTTAAGGCTTACTAATGGAGAGTGGATGACTACAATGCCAGAACACTTGAACATGGAATGGGTTGATAGTGTAAAGGTACAAAGATACCTTAGTCCAGACAAAACAAATCCTAATCTGTTTTTTTATTGTTTCTTTCTATTTGTAGCATGTTTTCAAGTACTTCACTGAGAGAACACCAAGGTCACACTTTGAAACACGTGATACCTCTCTTATATGGAACTACAAATACACAGGTAAGAGCACCCCCATCAAAGGATGATGGGGGAGGTTCACACACAAACCAAAAAAAAAAAACAATAAAATAATGTAAAAGTTGTGAACCTGGGCTTTAGAGGTTCATGGCAGTGAACCTGGTTCACTACTATTTCGTGGGCCCCACACCACGTGGCGGCCCACGATTGGTCACTTTTTTAAAAAAAAAAAAAAAAAAAATATAAAACAAAAATAAAAAAAATAATAAAAAATTCAGTTTGTGAACCCCAAGTGGGGGTTCACTGATGCTGATGCCCTAACACTCTCTATCTCTCTATTTTTCGATCACCCTGAGACACTGATTATCTCATTTTTTAATGTAGATATTGAGTTTGGGAGACTTCAAGCAAGAGATCTGTTACAACACTTATGGACAGGACCAATCTCTAATGCATCAGTAGATGTTGTCCAAGGAAGCCGCTCTGTTGAAGTCCGTGCTGTTGGTGTGACCAAGGGAGCTGCCATTGATCGCATTCTAGGAGAGATAGTGCATAGCAAGTCCATGACCACACCCATTGATTATGTCTTGTGCATTGGTCATTTCTTGGGGAAGGATGAAGATGTTTACACTTTCTTTGAACCAGAACTCCCATCAGACATCATCATCCCAGCCATTGCACGGTCCAAATCATCATCAGGAGACAGAAGACAGCCTTCAAAGTCTACACATAACAACAAAAGCAGTTCAAAATCTTCATCCTCATCTAACTCTAACAACAACAAGGCTTCACAGAGATCTCTTCAGACAGCAGAGAGAAAAAGTGGGTCCAACAACCATAGCTTAGGGAATTCATCAAGACGTCCTTCACCAGAGAAGATCTCATGGAACGTGCTTGACCTTAAAGGAGAGAACTACTTCTCTTGTGCAGTGGGTCGTACCAGGACCAGTGCTAGATATCTCCTTGGCTCACCTGACGATGTTGTTTGCTTCCTTGAGAAGCTTGCAGACACGTCTGACCCTAACTAATCGTCTGCATCTTAGAATCTGAGACTGTGAAGTGAGAGTGCTTGTAACCCAAGTAATTGTTTTGTAACAAGAAGCTAACCATTATTAATAAGACTCATTTAGTTGTTTTGATTACAATATAATAAAGAGTAGATCAAATGATGAACAAATAGTATGTACACATAAAATAATCAAAGCTCTAATACATAGAATAAGCCAAACTATAATATAACAATAATGCTAAACAAAACAGACTAGATATTACTGATTAATCTATTGAAAACATCACAACCATTCTCTCTTCATGTTTTTTTTCCTTGTTTGTCTCGAATGTATAACTTGATCTAGTTTGAATGCAGATTCAAAAATAAATAAATTAAATAATACTTTCACCCAAAGTTTAAAAAGAATCACTTATTATTTTTTTATTCTTGGGAAGTAGCCGTTTATTTTCTCAAGCGAAAAGGTAAAATTCTTTTAATTATTTTTTAATTCTTGGAAAGTAACTGTTTGTTTTTTCATTTAAGTGACAAGACAATTTCCTTTTTCTTTGATTTTGTATTTATGTTTGGGAAGTAGCCGTTTGTTTTACTTAAACTGTATACATAACATAACCAAGCTCTATTACATAAGCCAAACTACAATATAACAAGAATGCTAAACAAAACAGATAGATATTACTGATTAATTTAATGAAAACATCACGACCAAACATCACAACCATTCTCTCTTCATGTTTTTTCCCTTGTTTGTCTCGAATGTATACTTAATCTAGTTTGAATGCAAATTCAAAAATAATTTAAATAACACTTTCATCCAAAGTTCAAAAAGAATCACTTAGTTTGAAAATAAAATTTTATTTTTTCAAGTAAAAGTAAAATTATTTTTTATTATTTTTTATTCCTGGGAAGTAGCCGTTTGCTTTTTCATTTAAGTGACAAGACAATTTTCTTTTTATCTTTTTCGATTTTGTATTTATGTTTGGTAAGTAGCCGTTTGTTTACTTAAATTAAAGTAATTCCTTTTTTAATTTTCGAAAAGTATCCTTTGTGAACTTTCTTTTTTTTTCTCTATAAATAAAGGTGACCTCCTTTGCAATATCATATCTCATAATCACGTTAAGACACAAAAAAAACAAAAAAAAAAACAGTCGCTCTGATCCATGGAGATAAATAAACACCTTCGCCAGCAAATTAGACATACTTCCCGTGGAGAGAAACTTCAACGTCTCCTTCTCCGTGGCTCATCTCCTAAATACAACCGGAAGAAAACAGATGCAAAGTTCAGCTGATCTCAAAGGTAACAATGCTTTAAAGTCTTTTTTGATGAACGCCTTTCTCTGTGAAACATGTTTAAAAAATCTTCTTCTTTATCTCTCTCTGTTTTCTAAAATGATTTTCTTTGTCAAATTTTTTTTTGGGTTTTGAGAGGGGAGAATGCTATATTAATGGATTGATTAGTGAGACACTTAGGGTTGAGATTCAGAATGTGTAAAAACAAATTGAATGCAGGTCTTGTCATTGATTTATCAGTGGTGTTTAGCGATCCTTATACTTCTTTTTACCTTTTTTACACTTTATGGATCACTTCACTTTGTGATTCCTAATCAATCTGGTAATATAACGGTTTCCCCTCTCTCTCTCTCTCCCTTTTGGTATTTCTTTTGTTTCATTTTATTAATATCTCGTTTGCTAATCGTTGAATATTCACACTTGTCAGTCAACTAACGGTAGTATCAACTATTTTGTCAATGTTAAATTTTGCTTGTTTCTTCTTTTCTGTGTTGACTTGTTTGTTGCTTGTTTGTTGTGTGTGCTTCTTTGTTTCATGTATAGTTTATGTGATTCTTGTTATCTGTGTTTGTCTGAGTTAGAAATCAGTGATGTTGGCCATGTTTCTTTCCTAATTGCAGCGTCAAAGAGAAGCGATCAAAGGACACATCACAACCACGTCAAAACAGGAAGTTTGAAGATGAAGTTACAGTCCAGAAAACTTCATTTTAGTGGTTCCTAATCAATCTGGTAATTAGCGGTTTCCCCTCTTTCTCTCTCGTATTTTTAATGGTTTTCTTCAAATATTTTTTTTTCTGTGTTTCCTTGTTTGTGTGTTCTCATGTATTGTTTGTGTGTTTCTTGTGTTCTGTGTTTGCTTGTTTGTTGTGTGTTTTCTTGTTTTCATGTATCAGTTTGTTTGTGTGTTTTCTGTGTTTGCTTGCTATTTGTCTGTGTGTTTCTTCTTGTTTTTTGTGTTTGCTCTTGTTTGTCTAAGTTAGAAGTTAGTGATCTTGGCCTTGTTTGTTTCCTAACTGCAGCGTCGAAGAGAAGCGTTCAAAAATGATCAAAGGACATGTCAGCACCACGTCAAGAGAGAAAGTGTGAAGATGAAATCTGGATATGGGTTTTCAGAGAAGAATATGCTGTCGACTTCTCTCTTCTGCATTTCATCATACAAAATAGTCTATAATTAATGCCTTTTGCATTCCAATGAAAGTTGGTTTAGCATTATTAGGACCACGATAGTTAATAAACATATACTTTGTACTCTTAGAAGTGATTAATGAACCAGATCTGTTTTCGTGGATGCTTTTTATGCATCAACCACTGTGACGAGTGTTCTACTGATAGCTTTGTTCACGATTCACCTCAAAAGTCTGAAAACATTAACTTTGAAATCTCTGTTTTTTTTTGAACTTTAAAATCTCCTTTGTTTTTACAAGTGTTTTCAAATCAAATAAATCTCTATATATTTATACATCTATCAGTTCACAGTTCACCTCAAAAACCTGAAAACATTTTTTTTTGTGCAACTAAAAGCCTGAAAACATTAACGTTGGAATTTCTTTGCTTTTTTTTTGAACTTTAAAATCTCCTTTGTTTTAATTAGTGTTTTCAAATAAAGTAAAAATTCATCACTGATAACGCTTGCATCGTTTATACAACACAAAAGATAGTAGAAGACTTCTCAAACAATGGTTAAAGCATGGATGTGCCTTTGCTTCCTCATCTTCTTCTACCTCTCTTCAGGTGATCACAGTATCCTCCTATAGTATCACATGTTATGACCTATCTTAACAAACTTATCAGTTTAAACATATTGAGAAAATCAAGAACTCAACAAAAAAATGAGTTAATAACTCAATCAATAGTCAAATAAATTCAAGTTAATCCAAATTATATCCCAAATATCTTAACATAAAAAGAAATGTAATATTATTTTAATCCAAATTTTGAAGAGTTCTCTTTCTCTATTACCAAAGGCTAGGACTCAAACATGTGATACGAAGGTACTTGCCACATTTTGGAAGCTCCATTAGCTCCTTTATTCCCGCTATGATTTCCAACTTCTTAGTTGTAGAAGAGGACGATGGTCTAATCACCATCTTATGGATTACCGTCCCATGCGTTATCATACTTGAGGCTAATGCAAACTCTTCCTTTGAACCGCTAAAGTTAGACAAATATACTCTATCTACATGGAACTCAGCACTGGGAAACAATTTTGTCTCTTCCCAAATCGTGTTCCTTGTTTTTCCAATGGGAGACACACTTTCTTCCCTAGCAGCATCGTTATCCTACATAAGCAACAACAACAACAATAAAAAACATGTATCGCTCCCTCCCTTAGATTTTATAGTTGTTAAAGACAAAATGTTACGAAAATTAGAATAGCTAATTATGTGATCATGTATTAGTTTAGTTTGAAAACATAGAATGAACGTACCTTCAATACAAACTCAACTTCTCCCATTCCTTTAGGCCATGCAGCTAACACTTCTCTGAGCATCTTAACTTCTTTTGCATTAGTTAAGTCTACACTCACCGACATTAATGACAAAGTTGTCATACAGTACTCAATAGTTCCGCTCAGCATGATTTTATGCGCAATGCTTTCTTCTCCCTAATATTCATATATGTCAAACATGTCAAGTATTGACAACCTTTCTTTCTATATCAAATTTTTTTTTAAAAAAGCATAGTGAAGAAAACTATACCTGGTAGGCGCATGATAGATTATAGCTAGTGTGAGGAAAGCAACATCCTGCAGCCCAATAGTTCCGATGGGAATGGAGCCTAGGGCTCGCAGTGACGCAGTTCTCTTCATCACACGAGAGATATTCAATGGAGAGGATATCTAGATCTGGTGAAGACACGTTAAGGCCTTCTATCCCATCGCAAGATAAGAATAAGAACTTTAGGTTGGGGTTCTCAATCTTCATAGTCCCACTATTTTTGTGGAAAACGCTCCTTAGTGCAAGCACTACGAGAGAAGGGCAAGACACAAGGACTGCATTCAAGACTTCAGTCTCGGCGAAGATGTTAATAAGTCTGAGTTCCTTTAAACTCCAGCAACTGTCAAAAGCATGTGGAGCTTCTAAGTTGTACTTATCTAGGAAGAGAGATATGAGGTCTGGGTGGGAAAAGGACTTAGGAGGCAAGTCAAGTGTGGCATTGGGTCTTGTGTTTGCGGACACATAGCCAAAAAGGTTTACAAGTTTGAGATGCGTGATGTGTTTCACATTAACGAGTGACTGAATCCAAGACTCAAACACCCCGTCTTCACATTGGAGTGAATCATGGTAGATTGTGCATCTTTCCAAATGCCCACGGTGATCCTTTATGATCTACAAAGCCAATGACTTATTTAGGATAGTTTTTGAATACATATACTGCACCAACATTTTACAATTAAATTGCAAAATTACCAAGAAATAACTTTTTTAATATGATGACCAACGCATTTGATTCGCCTATATACACTGGAGTTTACAGAAAAATTATATTGCAAGCTTTTAAGGGTTGCAAATCATATTATGAATCTGAAAATTCGAATTATGATAGATAGTTAGTGCAAGTTTTGAATGGAAGTATTTCTTTTAGGTGTAAATGGCAAGAAATCATGCTTCCTAGATTTCCTACCATAACAATTCACTGGCATGTATTCAATCTCAAATCTGTTAATCATAAATTTTGAAAATCAAGTATTTTCGCGCCAAAACCATTAGCCTTATTTTTCAGTAAAAGCGCGAATTTCAAAATAAAATTTCAATTTTATTTGGTGTACTTTCTTTAACGCAAGTGCTTATTTCTAGATGTAAATTGCTAGATCATGTTTTCCTAGATTTCAGATTCATTACATAAATTTTGAAAATCTTAACATTTTCGCGCGAAAAACGGTTAGCCTTAATCTTCAGTGAAAATCAAAGTAAAATCCCATGAATACAATACAACAACTACACTAAGCATGTTTTATGTCTCCAATTAGTAGGAACGTCTTTTCTCAAATATTGTTATTTGACTGAAAACAAGAGAAAATGTATCATGAGTTATCTAGGTTTACATTTTGAACTTCAACAATCAACAAACAAGATCATCTTATGCATGGATCTTAAGAGTCGTCACATATTAATATCAACCTAGTCCGTCATATTATAACCAGATCTGTTCAAGTAATTTCTTTCTCCTAATTAAAACATTATGAGAATAATATCAAAGAAAAGATATAGACCTTTGTCACCGATCTAGCAGCTTGATGCGAAACCTGGGGCAAAAGAATTTCAGCGTTTGCGATCCTTCGCATGTCCAAGTATATATGAGATGTCTCCTTCCACACATCCAACCATCGTTTTGATAGAACACTTGTCCTAAGGACTTCGTCCATGGACAACTTGGATAAGACCTTAAGCAAGACATCATTTGGGAGCTTACTGATACAATCGAGGCCATTAACCACATCAGCATGTATCATTTCTCCTTCTACGTCAGATGATGGTATTGATCTATCCATCGATTGGGATGCTAAGACAATGGATTCTGTTGTGAAGAAAATGGACATGAATCACCTAGAGAGACTGCTTTTATCTTGAGAGACTATTGGCCGGTATGTAAAGTTTAGATAGGTATATGGAGGTTTATATACGAGGAGACAAAAAAGATTAATTAAAGACACACGGAAAATATGGTGGTGTTGTCAAAATTTAAACCCCATGCTTATTATCTTTTTATTTTCTTTTGCACTGTTTTCTCTGGCTCTATTTCACTTAAAAATTTGGAAAGATTTCTTGACATATATGTAAATATTGGTAAAATTATGTGATTTTAAAATGTACATATACATATAGTGATATAAATAAATTTTGGCTCAGGATCTGTTTCCCCAACTTCAAGATTTTCTATGTCTCTAGGTCACAACAGTTTCTCTGATTCACTAGCTAAGTCGGTTAGATCTTTTTATCGTAAGCTTTTGTACGTTGGTTGTTCTACTCCGATAAGTCGGCTCAGAATTGTTTCTAAAGGATTGAATTTTCTGATAAATGCAATCTATAATATTTAATCTCTTTAGTGTTATTTAAAAATAACTAAACACACTCTAAATTTATATATATGTATGGTATACATACCACTTCAATATTTATACTATGTCAGTGCATAATGCATCTATGAAATAAAACAAAAATATTATATTTTCTTATTTATTTTGAAATATGTGGACTAACCCCTACGAAAATATTGAATTTTCTGATAAATGTTATTTCTAATATTTAATCTCTTAAGTGTTATTTAAAAATAACTAATCACACTCTAATTTTTTTTTATATATATATATATATATATATGGTAAAATTATTTTCAAGGCAGATGAGCATTATTTCTAATTTTTCAATACGTAATTTATTTAAACTTCATATACCACCTAATAAATGGACTAATCCATATAAAATATCTATTTTCTAGAGAAACAGAAACATCTAAGTTCTTAAACCTTTTTATTATTCATACTATGTCAGTGAATGATGTAGTTATGCAATAAAATAAAATATCATATTTTCTTATTTATCTTGAAATATGTGGGCTAACCACTACGAAAATACTAAATTTTCTAATAAATACTATGTATAATATTTAATCTCTTTAGTGTTATTTAGAAATAAATAATCACACTCTAAATTTATATATATAGATGGAAAACTTATTTTCATGGTAGATGAGCATCATTTCTAATTTTCCAATAAGTAATTTATTTAAACTTCGTATACCATCTAATAAGTGGACTAATCCCAATAAAATTTCTATTTTTTAGAGAAATGCAAACATCTAAGGTCTTAAACCTCTTCAAGATTTATACTATGCCAGTGAATGATGCATCTATGCAATAAAAAAATATATCATATTTTCTTATTTATCTTGAAATATGTGGGTAAACCCCTACGAAAATACAAAATTTTCTGATAAATGCTATCTATAATATTTAATCTCTTTCGTGTTATATAAAAATAAATAATCACACTCAAAATTTATATATATGTATGGTAAACTTATTTTCATTGTAGATGGGCATCATTTCTAATTTTTCAATAAATAATTTTTTTTAAACTTTATATACAACCTAATAAGTGGATTAACCACAATAAAATCTCTATTTTTTTTAGAGAAACGCAAACATCTAATATCTTAAACCTCTTTAATATTTATAATATGTCAGTGAATGATGCAGCTATGCAATAAAATAAAAATATCATATTTTCTTATTTATCTTGAAATATGTGGGCTAACCACTATGAAACAATAATGAATTTTCTGATAAATGCTATCTATAATATTTAATCTCTCTAAGTTATTTAAAAATAACTAATCACACTCTAAATTTAAATATATGTATGGTAAAATTATTTTCATGGTAGATGAGCATCATTTCTAATTTTTCAATAAGTAATTTATTCAAAGTTCATATACCATTAATAAGTGCACTAACCCGTATAAAATCTCAATTATTTTGAAAAATGGAAATATCTAAGGTCTTAAACCTATTTAATATTAATATTATGTCAATTCATGATGCAGCTATGCAGTAAAACAAAAATATCATATTTTCTTATTTATCATGAAATATGTTGGCTAACCGCTACGAAAATATTGAATTTTCTCATAAATGCTATCTATAATATTTAATCTTTTAGTGTTATTTAAAAATACCTAATCACACTATAAAATTATATATATGTATGGTAAAATTATTTTCATTGTAGATGGGCATCATTTCTAATTTTTCAATTAGTAATTTATTTAAACTTCATATACCATCTAATAAATGGACTAACCCCAATAAAATCTCAATTTTTTAGAGAAACGAAAAAATCATATAAGGTCTTAAACCTCTTCAATATTTATACTATGTCAGTGCATGATGATATATATGCAATAAAACAAAAATATCATATTTTCTTATTTATCTTGAAATATGTGGGATAACCCTTACGAAAATACTGAGTTTTCTGATAAATGCTATCTATAATATTTAATCTCTTTAGTGTTATTTACAAAAAACTAATCACACTATAAACTTACTTGTATGTATGGTAAACCTATTTTATTGGTAGATGGGCATCATTTCTAATTTTTTATAAAGTACTTTATTTAAACTTCATATACCATTTATTAAGTATACTAACTCCTATAAAAACTCTATTTTCTAGAGAAATGAAAAAATCTAAGGTCTTAAACCTCTTTAATATTCATACTATGTAAGTGCATGATGTAGCTATGCAATAAAATTTTTTTTCATATTTTCTTATTTTTCTTGAAATATGTGGGCTAACCCCTACGAAAATACCGAATTTTTTGATAAATGCTATTTGTAATATTTAATCTCTTTAGTGTTATTTACAATTAACTAATCACACCAAAATGTATTTATATGTATGGTAAACTTATTTTCATGGTAGATGGGTATCATTTTTAATTTTTTATTAAGTAATTTATTTAAACTTCATATACTATCTTTTAAGTAGTTTAACCCCTATAAAAACTCTATTTTCTAGAGAAATGAAAACATCTAAGGTCTTAAACCTCTTTAATATTCATACTATGTCAGTACATGATGTAGCTATGCAATAAAACAAAATTTTCATTTTTTCTTATTTTTCTTGTTATATGTG